TAATATATCTAACACTTTACTTAAAAAAAAAAAAAAAAAAAAACAGTATAGTCTAGAATAAATCCAGAATGCGACTTTGAAATGCTTAGGCAAAATTGGTACATTCAGACTCAGATTGTAAGTTTGTGTCCATTGAATAATGTGATGCTCTAAAAAAACTAAGAGCCAAAAGATCAACTTTGGAACTGATAACCCCATATCGCTAAATTAGTGCAAGCCTCACACAAATATCGACACAGGAAATAAAGAATGATACAAACTTCTAGGGACAAGTATGAAATATCAAAAGCAATATGGAGAATATATTTTCTTTATCAAGTTTGAATTTATATTTGCATTCTTCTAGTCAACAAACCCAAGTATAGAACTGATACAACAGTAACAACTATATGGTGAATTCACCACACCAACACAGAGACAAAGGCTTCCCCCCCCCCCCCCAAAAACCACACACATATAGATAGAGAGAAGAAAGAGAGAGGAAGGCTTACCCATCACATCGAGGTTACCACCAGTGTTCAAACGAGGGTCACGTACCACCTGAATAAAGCAATTATTTATTCCATCTATTTTTCAATTGAAATAATTACAATAAAAGGCATAGCCAGCTAGTAATTGGTATCTTTTTGAAAGAAGAGCACTATGATTTTCCTAGTTGATGTGTGCCAGTAGAAATTTCAAAGAAGCAAGAAGTGATCCAACACGTGAATGAGGGTTTATAATAAAAGCGTGGGAAGAGGCACCAGGGAATCATTGTGATAAAGGGAACAACTAAAGTGTGAGAGAAGCAAAAGGTGGAATCAACAGTTGGCAACCAGATAAGGCTGAAACTGAAATTCCATTAGGAAGGAGGTGAATAAAAGGGAGCACAGAGTTGAAAAGGCATCAGAGAAGAATTGAGAAAAAGGGGAGGTGCCCTCGAAGTCCAGCGTATTAGTTCCATTTATTTCCTTGTGTTTGTTAATTAAATTCTGGTATTGGGGTGCATCCATACATGAATGTAACTCAGATTTTACAGGAAATACATATTTGATTCTGAATGTAGATTATTTACCATCAATGGTTGATACTTTGATGTTGGGAAATTGTGATGATTGAGTAAACAAACAAGTAGGTTCGCAACAATTTGGTATCAGAGCACGTGTGGGTAATGGTAGCAACGAGAATGGAATCTAGAATAGAAATGTGGAAAGAGAAGTGACGAAATTGGGGGTTGACATGGGAACGATTCGTGAGTGCATGGTTGAGATTCAAAGCTGGATGAGACGAAAGATGAAAGAAGAAGCTGGGCGAGGTGACCATCACATCCGGAACTGAGAATCAGGATTGGAGAACCATAATGGAGCCGTGGATCGGGAATTCAACAGAATCAGAGTGAAGTAGGAGGGACAAGCTTGAGTTACCCATTTTTGTGGGTGAAGATCGTATGGTGGATTTTCAGAATTGAGAGGTACTTTAGTTTAAATGGAATTCCAGATGAAGGGAAACTCACAGCTGCAGCAGTATGTAGAAGGGGAAGCTATTAACTGGTATCATGTGATGAGGTCAGAGCACCAGTTACTCTGGCCATCATTCAAGCTCGCTTTAATTCAGAGGTTCAGTGGGTCTCAAGAAAGCAACCCTTACGAGACTCTCATGGCCATGAAACAACTAGTACAGTTGCTGAATTTGACGCAGATTTAGGCTGTCGTGCTTTGTTATGGAGGAGAAGGAGGAGATCTGAGTGCTGCTTTTGAATGGACTTAGGGCAGAGATTAGGGCTGAATTAAGACTGATCCAGCCCAACACACTTCTTGAAATCATAGAGAAGCCCATAGAGTGGAGGAACGCAACGGGCTTTAGAGGAGGCAAAGAGTGGCCCAGCAGAACCAATAAGTGGAATGGCCTGGTCTTCATGTTGGATTAAATAACTTTGGATCCAGAAATTTTAACCCAATGTTAACCCAATTACAACCCGACCCGACTCACTCAAATCCCAAATTCAAATGAATCCCTAAGATCAAATGCATTTTCAAATTCCTTCTCCAATGGGGACGACGAAACGCAGATAGTAACACCGTGGGTTCATCGCTTCATTCCCCGTGGGTTCACGCTTCTCTTCCCTCGCGAAAACGCTCCACACCTTCAGGTCCTTCGACAGAGTCAGCCTCCACGACGTGAATTCCCTTTCCGAAAGAGACAGAGGCAGAAATACAGCGAAAAGGGAAAAGGGCTTGGTGCTTCAAGTGTGATGGGAAGTATTTTTAGGTCATAAGTGTGGTGAGAAGCAATTTCAGTAATTCTAGTTTGACGAAGAAGAAGAGATCCGGTCCGGGTGATGTGGAAATCAGTGAAGCAACGATGGAGGAACAAGCCAAGGTAATGTTGAACTTTCTTTGAGCTCGGTTGTTGGAATCAATGGCCCAAAACGATGAAGTTGAAAGGGAATATTATGGTCAGAGGTTGATTATCTTGATTGACGTGGGGCTTCCACAATTTCATTAGTAAGGAGATTGTGAAACGCTGGGCATATTGTGACACACACAGTTGTTTGGGTACGTTTGGAGATGGGTATAAGGTGAGGAGTGAGGGAGAGTGTAAGGCAGTTTGTTTAGAAGTTTCAGGAGGTAAGAATCATTCAGGATTTTTTTCCTTTGACATGAGTAGTGCAGATGTGTCCTAGGTATGGCTTGGTTAGAAACGTTGGGCGAAACTACAATGGATTGCGAAAGCAGGTAATGAAATTCAGCTGGTAAGGAAATGGTGACTCTTATAGGTGATCCGCACTTAGTAAGACAATGGGTCTCCTTGAAAGCAATGCAGAACCTTAGAGTGAAGGGACTGGCTATCTGGTCGAATTTGGGCAATTACAAAAACAAGCATGAAGAAGCTGATGTCAATAGTAGCGTGTTATCAGTGTTAGCAAAATTCCAGTCGGTCTTTGAGCCATTGCCAGGGTTACCACCGAGTAGACCTCAGGATTCATCCATCGATTAAACCCTGATGCCCAAACCTCGAACCTTCAACCTTATAGATATCCCTATTACCAAAAAAATGAGATTGAGAAAATCATCAGTGAGATGTTAGCTTCTGGGATTATTAAGCCGAGTATCAGCCCTTCTCAGTCGGTTCTCTAGTTAAGAAAAAGATGGTGGGTGGCGATTTTGCGTGGATACAGGGCAACTCTTTGTTACGGCGACTCCGGCCACCCTCCGGCGGTGGTGGCCGGTTGTCCGTATTTGAGGGTGGATTGGGAGTGTTTTTGTTAACTTTTAATATTTTATTATAAGGGGTGTTTTGTAAAAAAACAAACATAGGGGGTATTTTATAATTTATAAATCCTACATCGTAATACCCGCCCAATTCAACTTTTTTTTTTAACTTTTTTCAAAAAACTTTTCCCAAAAACATAAAATTGTGAACCAAACGGAGCCATAGTTTCTAAACTTGATTTAACAATCAAATCGATGATGTGGCAACCACATCTCTAGTGAAAAAATCTGCCTTCACCATGCTGATCTAATCTCTTTTCAAATAAAGAGATATTCGCGGTGTTAGCAACTACATTATCTAGTTAGCACTACAACTCTATCAGTTAATACATATTCTTGCAAAATTTCAAGTATTGTAAACTAAATAGTGTCAACATTATGTGCAATATATAATGGTCTAAAACCCATCAATTTTTGTTGTAAACCCCAACCATGATCTAAGTAATGTATTGTGATTGTTAAAAAATCCGTTTTGATCTATAAGCCCATATGTTTGAAGTAAGTGCAATCGATATATTCCTAAAATTTAAATTCATTTTTAAGTTAAATATTTATTTGGTTATAAAGTTTTAGTTTATCTCTTCTATTTATACTTCTACTAACAGAGGTATCTACTAAACAAAATGCAGTTTTAATCAAGTGAATAAAAAAAAGATTTTCAGATAAAGAAATAGGAGAGTCCGTAGCAACTATGTATTTTACTATTTCCTCTTGTGTTTAGAGTACATTGTATTGTCATGTTGACAGAGTTGTAGATTAAAATTATGTTGAGTTTGAATTTGCTTACTTGGTCTGGTTGAAGATGAACCGGACAATTGCATTATCTAAAAGTGTTTTTTCTCCAAATGTCATCGCATCGTCGAAGTCTCCTTCTCAGCACCGATAATAGTTCCATAGGAATTACATACCCTACACGATTCTTCCCCCTCCCTATTTGCCTTTGCTCGTTTTGATTTGAAGTGTCACCATATATCGGACACGACCCCCTTTAACGGTCAGGAGGGTTAGGCCATGGAATCGCAGTTTACTTGTGTTTAGTTACACCCCGTCCTGACTAAATGTGGCTGTTGTCGTTGAATTGCAACCGTTGTCTCTGGAAAATGTGAAAATGGATCAAACCCTTCCATTTCTTCGATTGATAGAATGTAGAACTCATTTGATCATTCCATTATGAATTTATGATAAAATAATAGATAATTAAAATAAAAAAATTAAATAATAATATGGATAAAAGATGATATTGAAAAATAGAAAAAAATTGAATAATATGAATAAATTATAAATTATAAATATAAATATAAATAGAATTGAAGAAAATATGAATAATAATTGAATTGGAGTAAAAAGATTGAGAAAATGAGAGATTTAGAATTGATGTGAAAAAAATTGAAAGTGTGAGGGATTATTTATAGTTCAAGATTGGGGGAGTGTTCATGTGATCTATTATTATTATTATTATTTTGTAAAATATTAATTTAACCTTTAATATTTTTATCAATTTTAAAATTTTCAAGGGTTTTTGAATATTTTACAAAAGACTTTTTTAAAATTAAGCGAAGGGGTTTGGGCACGGGCCTTGGAGGAGGGCCCAATCAAGGGACCAATCCCTCCTCCCATAGGCTTAGTCCGATTTGGGACCAGACCCTCCTAGGACCAAGCCCTACAAGGACCGGTCCTAGGACTAGTCCTTTGGGCCGGGTTTTTGGGACCAGTCTCAAATGCCAAAGTCTAGAACCAACCATATCCATCTATGATTATGAATCAAGTTAATATCATATAAATACAAAACTTTGAACTCAAACAAGTGTTACCCAATTCTAAACTACAATTACAAAACTGTTGAACCCTGTTCTTTACTTACGCTGCCCATACCCTTCAAAGATAGCTAGATGATACCAACATTTATTGGATGGAATTTAAGGTATAGACAATCTTGACCAACCAAAAAACTTATAAAATTATTACTTCTATTGCTCGGTGTTGGTGTTGGGTCGACGATACGGCATATATTTGTGATCTTTGGAAGCATTTTTCCTTCTTTTCTTCTCAATGAAGGATTCAAGCTTGCCAGATGCCTGATCATATCAAATAATTTATTATTAAGCTAAAACAAGTTATCACTGGAATAATTACCACACCTGAGAAAATCATAAGAAAAGCCAAATGTGTACCTTGAGTTTGTTATATTTCTCGACAAGTCTTTGCTTCCGGATTTCAGCTGAAAAGAGAAAACAAGGTAAGCTTTCTAATAACTTATAACTTTAGCCAAGTTCATGTTTATTTGTTTAGGAACCATGTGAACAGAATCTATAAACACAGCCGCAAAAAATACAGAACTTTAAAGCATGACTTGTGTAGTTTACCTCAACAGTATCACGTAAAAATGAGAAAATAATAATAATAATAATAATACTGATTAGTGCAGACCACTATAATTTGCACATCCTCTTATTAAGGTAACAGTAATCACAAAACCTCAACAATCTTTTTAATAGTTATGAACCACAGACACAACGAATAGCTAAAGAAGCAGCTCTAAAATCAACTCAATCATGGTAAAGGCTTGCTAAAAAGGTCCACAACTCCAATTCCAGGAGACCCGATGCAAATATCTCATCTTATGGATGGAATAATGCTACACTTACGAAGAAATTTTACAAAAATCTCCATACAAAGTGATGTAGCAACAAATGAATGGAAGAATAAATATAATGAGTTTGATTTTTTGTTTCACTCTTCTATTCATTTTTTGCCACCTCACTTTGTATGGAAATCTTTGTAAGATTTCTTTGTAAGTATATTATTATTGTTATGGAAATTATAAGAAGCACACTAATTATATTTCAAGACATCAGCTAAGTACTTGGCAGAAGCACAAAAGATACTATCAAATGAGAAGTAGAAAGAGGAAGAGGAAGTGGGAGAGGTTGACAACATTACATTTCTTAAGATAGAAGGGTCGTTTCCCATGTTTTGCAGCTTCTCTCTCTTTCTTCTTGTGCTCAGACAGTACGGCAGCATCAGTACTCTTTGCTGTTTCAAATTTTAATTGTTTGTCCTGATAAAACGTGGAAAAAGAAGAAGAAACTTCATACATAAGATGCCTCACTATGTCTGGTGTGGTACATTAAGGTTTAAGAGAATATATTAACATGATCATATATTGACACTGTTCAAAATGAAAATTTCTTTCTAATAAAGAAAAGACTTACAATCCAGGATATGTGCTTCTTCAATTCCTCAACAACATCCAGGTCATTTGTTTTCTTCAATTGCTTCTTCAGTTCCTATTATACTCAGAAAATAAGTTGTGGAGAAGGTTAAAAGAAGAGGAAACGACATTAAAAAAAATCTCCATGGTCATGATTTAAGAAGATTACCTCTTTTTCAGCAGGAAGATTATTTTCAAAAAGGAAATCATATCTCTTCCTAAACCTACAAGATCCAAGCACATGTATCATTTACATAACAAAAATTCTATCTTAGACAGATAAGGAATCATCTAAACCATGACAAAAAGATATAAAACAAGTACCAGTTTTGCAACAGACACAATTTAAAAGTATTACAACCCTCTTAATTATGAAATTTACAAACTTTCTCAACTATGAAATGCTCTGAACAATATAAGCCAGAGAGCCATTTCCAAATATTAGAGAATATCAGATGAGGTCCATTGCAGGAACTTAGCATCTCCAAAATGAAATCATAAGTCAATAAAACTTAATGGATTCAATTAAAATTTCATAAAGCTAACTGGAATAGGATCACTATCCAACTTCTAGTTGTTTTCAATCCCCAAAAACGAATGTAAATCTTATTTACAGTCCAAAATCAAACTGGTCAAAGAAGATCAAAGCAATAATAAATACTTGGGGAAAAAAATAAATAAATTCCAAGAAAGTTCGGCAGCCTTGAAACTAAGGAAACACTCTGGTTGGTGTCTGTTTCAGATTTCAATTATAAAAAGTAGGAGATTAGATCCACAACTATTTTTTTATCTTCAACAAATAGAATTCTGACTCAAAAAGCACATCTAAAATCAGCATTTGACTCCCGGTACTCTAAATTTATAGTAAATGATCCCAGATTTCAAATACCTTTTGAGAGCCCCTCAAAAAATCAAATTTTATTCATCTTGCCAAGATCAGCGTTTATCTGATTGCAGGGGATAAAAGTGAGTACACTAACATCCATTCTCAGCTCTCCAAAGCCATAATGCAAACCCTCAAGAAAAAACCTTGCAAGGTCAACAATTGTCACACTAGCCCAAGATAACATAAAACACAAAACTTAAAGCAATTGGCCCACTTCTTAAAATCTGGAGGCTGTCTCCAATTTTATTTTTCTCTCCATCATTTTCTATTATATATATCTACCACTTTACTTAAAAAAAAAAAAAAAAAAAAAAACAGTAAGAGTCTAGAATAAATCCAGAATGACGACTTTGAAATGGCTTATGGACAAATATTGGTACATTCAGACTCAGAATTGTAAGTTTGTGTCCCATTGAATAATGTGATGCTCTAAAAGAACTAAAGAAGCCAAAAGATCAAACTTTGGAACTGATAACCCACATATCGCTAAATTAGTGCAAGCCTCAAACAAAATATCACACAAGGAAATAAAGAATGGATACAAGACTATTCTAGGGACAAGTATGAAATATCAAAAGCAATAATGGAGAATATATTTTTCTTTATCAAGTTTGAATTTATATTTGCATTCTTCTAGCTCAAATCAACCCAAGTATAGAACTGATACAACAGTAACAACTAATATGGTGAGATTCACACACACACAGACACAGAGACAAAGGCTTCCCCCCCCCCCCCCAAAAACACACACACATATAGAGATAGAGAGAGAGAAAGAGAGAGGAAGGCTTACCCATCAACATCGAGGTTACCACACAGTGATTCAAAACGAGGGTCACGTACCACCTGAATAAAAGCAATTAATTTATTCCATCTATTTTTCAATTGAAATAATTACAATAAAATAGGCATGAGCCAGCTAGTAATTTGGTATCTTTTTGAAAAGAAGAGCACTATGATTTTCCTAGATGTGATGTTGTCCAGTATGAAATTTCAAATGATAGCAAGAAGGTGATACAACACGTGAAGTGAGGGTTTATAATAAGAAGCGTGGGAAGAGGCACCAGGGAATCAATTGTGATAAAGGGAACAACTAAAGTGTGAGAGAAGCAAAAAGGTGGAATCAACAGTTGGCAACAGATAAGTGGCTGAAACTGAAATTCCATTAGGGAAGGAGGTGAATAAAAGGGAGCAGCAGAGGTTGAAAAGGCATCAGAGAAGAATTGAGAAAAAGGGGAGGTAGCTGGCCCTCGAAGTCCAGCGTATTAGTTCCATTTATTTCCTTGTTGTTTGTTAATTAAATTCTGGTATTGGGGTGCATCCATACATGAATGTAACTCAGATTTTACCAGGAAATACATATTTGAGATTCTGAATGTTAGATTATTTACAATCAATGGTTGAGTATTTTGATGTTGGGAAATTGTGGATGATTGAGTAAACAAAACAGAGTAGGTTCGCAACAATTTGGTATCAGAGCATGCGTGTGGGTAATGGTAGCAACGAGAATGGAATCTAGAATAGAAAATGTGGAAAGAGAAGTGACGAAATTGGGGGTTGACATGGGAACGATTCGTGAGTGCATGGTTGAGATTCAAAGCTGGATGAGACGAAAAGATGAAGAAGAAGCTGGGCGAGGTGAACCATCAACATCCAGGAACGTGAGAAATCAGGATGGGGAGAACCATAATGGAGCCAGTGGATCGGGAAATTCAGGACAGAATCAGAGTGAAGTAGGAGGACGTAAGCTTGAGTTACCCATTTTTGTGGGTGAAGATCCGTATGGGTGGATTTTCAGAATTGAGAGGTACTTTAGTTTAAATGGAATTCCAGATGAAGGGAAACTCACAGCTGCAGCAGTATGTATGGAAGGGGAAGCTATTAACTGGTATCAGTGGATGGAGGTCAGAGCACCAGTTAACTCGTGGCCATCATTCAAGCTCGCTTTAATTCAGAGGTTCAGTGGGTCTCAAGAAAGCAACCCTTACGAGACTCTCATGGCCATGAAACAAACTAGTACAGTTGCTGAATTTAGACGCAGATTTGAGGCTGTCGTGGCTTTGTTAGTGGAGGAGAAGGAGGAGATCTTGAGTGCTGCGTNAACTTTGTCAAACACCGTGACTGTTAATGTAGTTTCTAAAAAAGTTATGTGTCAAGAAATAGTTTATGAATTATAGTTTTGGATATGCCTCTGGGATGCAAAAGAGCTTTGAGAATAGTAGTGATAGGTAGATCTTGGAAAATTTATTTGCTAATTAATTTTTAAAAATTTACTCAAATATAACTTTTTCAAACACCGTGAGTCCGTGACTATTAATGTAGTTTCTAAAAAAGTTACGTGTCAAGAAATAGTTTATGAATTATAGTTTCGGATATGCCTCTAGGGATGCAAAAGAGCTTTGAGAATAGTAGTGATAGCTCAATATTTGATGAGCTCGGTGTTGAAAATCCACATATGGACATAGAAGTTATTTCTAAAATCCAGGGTGAAAGTTCCGTTGTGCTTATTTTCTAAAAGGTATTATTTGTCCTGTGCTCAAGAAATTTGAATGTCTTAGCTATTTGTTTCTTCTCTTTTCTGGTTGATTCATAAATGAAAAGTATTAAATTCTGATCCCAGAGTTAAAGTGAGTAATACGATATATTTATTAATTATCCCTTCGGTGCAGAACTATGAGGTCTGATTATTAGGCTGGAAGAAACAGCAAATGACTATTAATAAAGAGAATACCTGGTCCCATTTATCCGAAGGATTAGCCCTGTTTCGTTCCTAAGTAACATACAACGTGCTATGCACTAGTGAACGTTAACATGGTGCACCAATATCTTAAACTGTGGTTTGATGAGCACGGGCAACTTTAGAGTTTACTTAGCGTGCTTAATTAGAAGTCATGTCCAGAAAGCAAAGGTAGAAACATCGTAATCAAACAGCTAGTGGAATTCCTTATTTTCAGAGTCGGAGTTTTAAATGTAAGTGCACCATGTTTCAGACCAGTGATACCAGACTGCAATTTTCTAAGGTATTTAGCTAATTGTGATCCCTCACATGTTTGAGATGATAATCCATATAGATTAGTATTTCGTGTTTTCAGTGTCTGCATTTCCCAGAGGAAGGAAAAAGAAAATATTTTGTTGGTTAAGCTTCTCTAGCTGTTCTTTCTGTTTTGCTGCTAGCTAATATGGAAATTTAAGTGCTTTATAGTTTAGATTGAAAGAAAATATTTCTTCTATTTCTTGTTTCATATTAGTATGTAAATATTAATAGCAAATATATACATCTTTGCATTCATCATTTTCTTTATTCTTATATTATTAAATGCAGATGGAGTGCTATTGGGGCCGTTCATACAAAGTATAGTTGACTGTTCTATGCATGCCAATGTTTGGAACTTTGAGAAGGATCAAGTGGTCAATTCTTTATCAGGTTTGTAATCTTGCGATCAAGTATCCTGTCTTTTTAGCATAGCAGAGGCCTAGATCACTTCTTCGTAAATGCACCTACAGCTACATGAGTTGAATGGATAAATCAATCTTCAATTTAAAGAATATTTTATTAAATAAAAACTAATCATAAAGTTTATTTCTTGTCATTTCAGCTTTACTTGTAATTTCCTGCTATTTAAGAAATTATAGTGACTGACAATATAGGAGGTAAATTTACATTAAATATCAGCCTCTTCGATCTCACATATTCACCCTTTCTATTTCAGGTATATAATACTTTTAGTATTCATTGCCAGTGAACAGTGATACGCTTGAAAGTTGAAAACAAACAAACAAGGGCCAGTTCTTAAACCATAACTTCCTTTCCATTTAGTGTAAGGTAATATTCGAATTTCTATTGCTGTGACAGGGTTTAAGTAGAATATGTCATTAGATCTGTAATTACTATTGTGTTTGTAATATAAGATAGTAATATTATCAATTGCAGTTACTTTTTCTTCACTAAGGGCAGAAAATAGCTTTCTTCAATTTATTTTTTGGAGATGCATATCTTATATCTCTTAATTTCACGTAGTGTTCTTTCATGAAAGAAATCAGTGTAATGGACTCCAATCGGTTTGGAACAAGGGCTTGCTATGTTCAATTGTGGTTCTTATCTATGTCAAAGATCGAGAATGGTTTAGCAACATACTTTGGCAAGGGAAGAAGAGCAGTTACAACGATTGATGTGAAGACTAGCTGCAAGTATGCTGCTTTTGCACAAGTTTACCTCAAAAGAACTGAGTGAGTGGGTCTCAAAATACTAGTTATCACTTAAGATATCTTCTATATGATTGCTTATCACCAGTTCATACACTATCTCTCTCAACTGAGTTTGATTATTCTTATTTAACAATATATATAAAATCATCACAGAAGCTAGAACCATCATTCTAATAACAAAAGCAGACTACACATACACACTCGAAACTAATACAATCCCCAGAATAAAATTATTTGCCACACTTGGAACCAAGACAATCATAATAGAAAGCTAAGGAACCATGCAAGAACATCTAGCTCTTATTTGAAGACAGTATTGGCCATTTCAGTTGTCACTCCTCTTTGGCTTGTCCGAAGAAAAAGTTACCTGAAACAAAGAAATTACTTTACCAAATGTAAAATACTGCCAGAAAAAGTTTATGTCAAATGCTGATAGTGGTGTACCATATTATCAGCCGAAGGAATCCAGTCATTAGTAGCTGGGTTCCCCTTGCATGAGTCATGACAGTCATTGGTAGAGTTGAGGCCTAGGCTGAAGCATTTTCCAGATGCATTTTCCATTTTGATGAATCCTGTTCCTGTCTGCAAAGACAAACAAAAGTTGTTTGGTAATCCTGAAGGTAAGTCTTATTGACTTGCACTATTTTGACTATCTTGCTAGCAACTTAGAGAGAGTTTTTAAGTCTTTACCGTGTGGTGTTGCTTGTCAATGCAGTTCAGATCCTTGTAGTACTCTGTCTCAGTGAATTCCTCAGGCACTTGGCTTCCATTGTATACTAGTTTCTGGGATAAAATTGCAGAAAAAGTAAATGTTAACTGTTAGGCCACATGAAGCGTTTGTAGTCCAACGGTTAGGATAATTGCCTTCCAAGCAATAGACCCGGGTTCGACTCCCGGCAAACGCATACCTTATTACTTTATTGTTTGATTAATATCTATGAGTATGTTGATTTTTACTTTTTGATTAATATTTAATATCTATGGGTATGAGTATGTATGTTATTGATCTAGATTTAGTTAGAAAGAAGCAAGAAACCAACCTCAGGATGACTTTGGAGACGCTGAAACTCATCATATTCTGTGTTGCTGTTGTTATGATTTTCAGCAAGGGCATCCACATACTGAGAAGAATACTCACTCCTCTGAGGCTTAGTATGGCGCTGAGGTGCTAATTGATCAAAGTACTCCTTTGTCTCATCTTCAATTCTTGCTGCTTCTTCCCTTGGTAAGTGAATGTCACTCCTGTTTGGCCTCTTATCACACTCCATTTCTCTATATTCTACACTTCAATTTCTCTTCTTTTGTTGAGTTGAGACTTTGAGATCTAAAAAGCCAGAGTTTATATCAGGACAGTTGGAATGGATAAGATATTTTTGCTACTGCTTGATTGCTTCGAAATTTCTAGCTTCATGTTGTACGGAAAGTTTGTATGCTGAAAATATCTAAGAAAAATATCTCACAAATCCTATCTTCTCATCAGTAGTTGGAACTGGTAGGTGGGCAAGTCTTGCTTTCTTAGTCATCTTTTTTATTTTTAAGGGCGAAACAAAATTTTATAGGGATTTTTAGTATGTTTCAGGGGTAAAATTATAAATTTTGTAGAGCTTGGAAAATTTTTTTAATAAATTTTGTAAACTTCCTTTTAACCCCTATAATTATGTTTACTTTAAAATTTATAGAGGGTTTTATGTAATTAGACAAAGGACAAAACAAAAGTATGTAAAAAAATTTGGGCCAGGCCGAGCCTTCCTCCTTAGCTTTGGTCCCATTTTGGGACAGACCTCCTAAGACCGGTCCTCTCAAGGACCATCCTAGGACAGGCCAGGTTTTTTTGGTTTGGGTTTTTTGACCCATCCCAAATGTCCACCTCTACCCTAAACAAGAGAGGGACGATGCCAAACAAAAAGGCAAAGGAGCCAGGATTTTACACCTTTACACACCCTAACCACACTCTAGGACCAGAGCACCAAAAAAAGGGCCAGGGAGGCTAAACCAGCATCACTGTTTGTTTAAAGCTTAGTTGAGTAGTCGACATATAGTTTACAGGATAGATTCAAACAGTTTGAGATCATGTGCTTTTGTTTGCATGTTTGAACCTTAATTAGAAAGCAAAATGGGTTTGAATGTTGGAGAAGAACATTTCAACCTTTTCTAGGGCAATTTCCAAATTAACATGTTCGAGTTTGTGCACAGAGGCAAAGGTAGATCAATATCATGAATTACTCGGATAACATCCCTCGCTCGACGAATGCTTCAATGTCACTTGTGGCCTTCGTTTCTGCCTTAAAAAGTGTTGAAACAACCAAATAAGAGAATCTTTCACGTACTATTATACGTAAAATCAACCAATCATAAGGTTGATTCTGTAACTATCATAAGTGTTTGATTTACTTTAAAAATTTCTTATAACTATTAGTATTTTGAGAAATAGATTTAAAAGACTTCTTTCTTGATAGTATAGGGTGTGTTTGGTTTAGTATTTTGGATAGGATTTAGGGATAGATTGGGTTATTGTGTATGGGAGTATTACGAGGTAATTTTTAAAATTTATAAAAAAGCCCTTGGTTTACTATTTCATAAGACCCTAACATGTAAATGACAAAAACACCCCCACCCATCTGCAGTGTCATTCCGGCCACCACCGCCGGAATCTGGCCGGAAAATTTCGTTACGCACAGACTTGTCGGATCTGTGCCGTAACCGTCGTTATGGCCTTTTCCGGCTAGATCCATGGTGGATCTGACCGAAAGGCCAGATCTACCGTTTGTTTTGGTTTTGGTTGGGTTGCCGTCGCCGTCGGGAAAATGCCCAACGACGGCCATTTCTTTGGCCGTCGCTGACGGCCAGATCTGGCCTTTTCCGGCCAGATCCGTGGTGGATCTGGCCGGAAAAGGCCACAGCGGTGAACTTCCGGCCATTTCTGGTCGGAAGTTTGGCCGTTGTACAGATTCCGGCTATCACCGACGGTGGTGGCCGGAATCTGACAAGTTGGGTTGATGGGGGTGTTTTTGTTAATTTTTAAACTTTTTTTTTAGGGGGTATTTAGTGAAATTAATAACTTTATGGGGTTAAAATGTAATTAAAAAAAATAGGGTAATATTTTGAGAATATTGTACCAAACGCTATTTGAAAAATAGGATCCAGAATAGGGATAAAAATATTACACCAAACGCAGCCATAAAGTTTAGTTGATGAATTTTAAAAGGCTAAGAATGGGCACATTGAGTTTAAGTTAAAACTTTAGAATCAACTCATCCCAATCTCTTTCCTAAGACCAAACTCATTTAAGATAAATGGGATATGGGCCATGAGGCTTTATTTGGGCCCAAAATGGACTTAAAGAACATTTCACCACATGAGTCCAAAAGGCCTCCATCCCATATCTCATATAATGAGTTTGTATAATTCAAACTCAAACTAAATCTTTTTTTTTTTTTTTTTGGGAGAGTCAAATAAACCCTTTAAATTTTGTTAGAAAGCGAATTTGTTTCACATCGCTAAATTAGGTGGGCTATTATGATAACTATATATAGTTAGACTTTCTTCTTCTTTGAGTTTACTTTTGGGGTGAATTTTACTCAAACTTGTACCCTCGTTTGGAAAGGTGATAGGTTAGACTATAGAAAATTTGATTTCGTCCTTAGTGTAACAAATCCCATATTGGAAGCTTATTGAGGAGATCTTGGGTTTATAAATAAGGGGAGTCTCTCTACCTAATAGATTAGCTTTTTGGATGTGAAATTCCCAGCCCGTGACAAGTGGTATCAGAATAGACCCAATCAGTCTTTCGATGGCCCGCCAAGTGCCCATGCAGGGGTATTCATGTGTGATTGTGGGTCCATACGAGAGTGAGGTAGATGAATAAGTAGGGAGCCCCATCTATGACGAGGGCGTCATAGGATTGAGTGGGAGAGAATGTAATAAATCCTATATTAGAAGCGTATTGGGAAGGTCTTTGGCTTATAAATGGAAAAATCCTTCCACCTAATAGGTTAGTCTTTTAGGTGTAAAACTCTAAACCCATGATATTAGAAACTACCGGACTAGGAAGTAAATCAGGGTCCCAATGTGGGTCCTCGTTATCTCCACAAGTTGTTTTTTCTGTTTATTTTGTTTGATCAATAATTTAACCCCTTTACATGTGTCGTTTAGCCTGTGATTTGACTTGAACAGTTGAACCTAGGACTTTTCTTCTCTTCCCATAAGCTTAATAATTANTTGGTAAGTGAATGTCACTCCTGTTTGGCCTCTTATCACACTCCATTTCTCTATATTCTACACTTCAATTTCTCTTCTTTTGTTGAGTTGAGACTTTGAGATCTAGAGAGCCAGAGTTTATATCAGAACAGTTGGAATGGATAAGATATTTTTGCTACTCCTTAATTGCTTTGAAATTTCTAGCTTCATTTTGTACGGAAAGTTTGTATGCTGAAAATATCTAAGAAAAATATCTCACAAATCCTATCTTCTCATCAGTAGTTGGAACTGGTAGGTGGGCAAGTCTTGCTTTCTTAGTCATCTTTTTTATTTTTTAAGGGGCGAAACAAAATTTTATAGGGGATTTTTAGTATGTTTCAGGGGTAAAATTTATAAATTTTGTAGAGCTTGGAAAATTTTTTTTAATAAATTTTGTAAAACTTCCTTTTAACCCCTATAATTTATGTTTACTTTAAAATTTATAGAGGGTTTTATGTAATTAGACAAAGGACTAAAACAAAAGTATGTAAAAAAATTTGGGCCCAGGCCGAGCCTTCCTCCTTAGGCTTGGTCCCATTTTGGGACTAGACCTCCTAAGACCGGTCCTCTCAAGGACCAGTCCTAGGACAGGCCAGGTTTTTGGGTTGGGTTTTTGGACCCAATCCCAAATGTCCACCTCTACCCTAAACAAGAGAGGGACGATGCCAAACAAAAAGGCAAAGGAGCCAGGATTTACACCTTTACACACCCTAACCACACTCTAGGACCAGGAGCACCAAAAAAAACCGGCCAAGGGAGGCTAAACCAGCATCACTGTTTGTTTATAAGCTTAGTTGAGTAGTCGACATATAGTTTACAGGATAAGATTCAAACAGTTTGAGATCATGTGCTTTTGTTTGCATGTTTGAACCTTAATTAGAAAGCAAAATGGGTGTTGAATGATTGGAGAAGAACATTTCAAACCTTTTCTAGGGCTACATTTCCAAATTAACATGTTCGAGTTTGTGCACAGAGGCAAAGGTAGATCAATATCATGAATTACTCGGATAACATTCCTCGCTCGACGAATGCTTCAATGTCACTTGTGGCCTTCGTTTCATGCCTTAAAAAGTGTTGAAACAACCAAATAAGAGAAAGTCTTTCACGTACTAATTATACGTAAAATCAACCAATCATAAGGTTTGATTCTGTAACTATCATAAGTGTTTGATATTTACTTTAAAGAATTTTCTTATAACTATTACGTATTTTGAGAAATAGATTTAAAAGACTTCTTTCTTGATAGTATAAAGTTTAGTTGATGAATTTTAAAAGGCTAAGAATGGGCACATTGAGTTGAAGTTTAAACTCTAGGATTGACTCATCTCAATATCTTTCCTAAGACCAAACTCATTTAAGATAAATGGGATATAGGCCATGAGGCTTTATTTGGGCCCAAAATGGACTTAAATAACACTTCACCACATGAGTCCAAAAGGCCTTTATCTCATATCTCATATAATCAGTTTGTGTAATTCAAACTCAAATTTAAAATCTTTTTTTTTTTTTTTTTTTAGGAGTCAAATAAACCCTTTAAATTTTGTTAGAAAGTGAATTTGTTTCACATCGTTAAATTAGGTGGGCTATTATGATAACTATTATAGTTAGATTTCCTTCTTCTTTGAATTTGCTTTTAGAGTGAATTTTACTCAAACTCGTACAACCGTTTGGAAAGATGATAGGTTAGACTAGAGAAAATACCGAACTAGGAAGTAAATCAGGGTCCCAATGTGGGTCCTTGTTTCTCCACAAGTTGTTTTTCTGTTTATTTGTTTGATCAATAATTTAACTCCTTTGCATGTGTCGTTTAGCCTGTGATTTGACTTGAACAGTTGAACCTAGGACTTTTCTTCTTTCCCATAAGCTAATATTATTCTGCATCAAAGAAACTCTTCTCCATTCCATCATGTTTTTTTATTTTTCCCTTACTCTTTGCTTTGCAACGTCGAGTTTGCAAATCTCAACAATTTGCGATAACATTACTTTTTATTATTAGATTGATCAAACGTTCGACTTAATATTTGATTATCTATCTTTAAAAAAAAAAAAATACAGATGAAATAGACATATCACGTTACATCAACCACCTCAATTAATTAAAACATGTTCGATGAAGAATATTTATACATAAGCATAAGACAGAAGTGATGGTTGACATATGAACATACTTACTGCTAGAACATCCAAATTGAAATTGCTTAGAACACTGTGATAGATCTTCTTCTAAAACCTCCTCCCATCTTTTTTGTGTTTAATTAAGCCAGTACTGTGTTGGAAAAGCTTTACCTACACTCCAACACTTGTTCCCAAAACATAAAATCTTCCCATCTGGCTTAATCCTCTTTCCTTCAACTTACAATACCAGCCTTAGATTTTAAGAGAGGATATATTATGTGCCCCCTCCCCTCCCTTCTTGACCCGGCCCGGCCCCCCTTCCCGTCCCTGATCAATATAACAAAACCGAGCCTCACTGTCTACCAATTTTCCGCCCATGTCCACCAGCAATGTCTTGACTCTGAATCCCGGAAAGACCCTTCTCTATCACATCACTCAACCACTACCAGGATACTTACAGGGGAATAACAACAACTTACAGCAATGCATTTCCTCATTTAGAAATTAATGATATGATAGGAAGAATTTTGCCATTTTTTGATTGTATGCACGTTTATAATAATAATATTTCTATTAACATATATAATGTTAACGTAAAACACTTATCGTTAAGTTAAAAACTATAATTATCAGTAAAGACACAATTTTATTTTCTTAAACCATCAGCTTTCTCCGATAGTTTGGTCGACATAATTTGACCCACTGACGTCCTCCACTACAGTAAAATGCTAGACACCTAGCCAACATATTACAATTAGCTATGATCGGTAGAAGTAATAAACAGTACTGAACATCTTTCTTTTGGTCACGTAGTAGCCCTTAGCAGTTGAAATCTTTTATATACAAACTCAAGCATTTTGAACTACCCTGTGTTCATAATATACATCAAACTCAAATAACATTTCAGTTCAGTTCTCTCTCTTACTTCTAAGACTGATCGAAAAACCATGTTTCCTTCCATGTTCCTTTGTTCCAGGCGCCATGAAAATTCAAGGTAATGTACTGTTCATCATCTTAACTTCAGTCACATTCATGGCTACTATTGTATAACGTCCTATATGCCTTTCTTTGTCTGCAATCTTTGATTTTCTCACTGTTTTTTTCCGGATTCCTTCCTTGCTTTTACAATTTTGTAAAGATTAGTCATCAAAGTAATCCCAAGTACATATACTTTCAGAACTTTAAATGTTGAATTAATTACTTTTCCTGATCATTTTGATTTAGATTATCATATTGGTGTCATTTTTAGTGCGATTTCAGACCTCTGTTTATAGCAAATAACATCCCTTTGAGCACAAATGCAAATAGGAAGATAGAATATTTGTCTCATATAATATCAAAGCTCTGCATCGGAGCCTTCCAAACTGTTTATGCAGCAAATAGAAAAGACCTCACTGACTAAGCAGATTGTTTAACACTTTTTTTCTGGGCTAATAATAGTCCATTTTTTTGGTGGACAATCCCACGTGGACAGGACCCTCTTCAGCTACCACCATAAGCTACCCCATTCCCTTTTCCTGACCAATCCTTCAGCACAAGTTTTTCAGTGTCCTCCTCACTTTTTTTTCTTTTTTGGTTGATGGGAGGTATAAAGACAACTTGCACATATCTCAACTAATTCTCAAAAGTGTAGTCGAATAAATTTTCTCAGTAATGACTCCTATTAACAACCCAAGTGGATTGAATAATACTTCCAAGAGTCTTAGTTAATTGCTAGATCAACCGATAGTGGTTTCAATGTCCTTCTCGACTTCAATGGGAGCTTTTATATTTTGGTCTGTTTTTAAGAGCTAATAGAGTTGCATGATTCTGCAAACGTAATTGTTTCATAAGATCATTTGAGTATACACAATCGCTTGAAACACTACACAGACTGACTTTATGAACTGACAAATTATTACATGTAAAAGAGTAGCGGCAAAGCCGCAAAATAGTCAGTTTATACAGGTCGATCTGGGTCCAAGAGGAGTCCAGTACCAGTAACATGAATATTTAATTTAAGAACTAATAACCATTGTTAATTTTCAGATCAACAATCTTTTTCTCCTAAGATATGTTTTAACAGTGACAATCTAACATTACCCCAATAGAAAGCACGTTGCAGCACCAGCATCAGTGTGAGTGACATTACACTTCAGTCACTCTCAATATCTGCTCATCCCATCAAAACACCAACTCTAAATCTAAACCATACACTTGTCTCCCTTCCCTCATCTATGCCAGTATAATCTCCACCATTTCCGCCTAGTTCACTGAACCGTATATATCAGTTTACCGGTCACCGGAATTACTTTTACATACTAAAATTCTGTAACCCAGTTTTGGTTGTATTCAATTTCAGGAAGAAGAAGAGCAACCCGAGAAGTGTGGAAATAGAAGCTAAAGACTTGACGTTTTGGTACTCTGTTCAGTTCAACAGAGATCTTCCCCACAACCACAACCACAACCAATCAAAATTCACTCTAAAATCTCAGAACAACTTTCACTCTACCAGGTCAGCCAAATTTTACATATTTATTACATTTTATTGACTTTTCTACGAGGAAGAAAGATAAATGTTTTCTAATATCTTACTGTGTTAGTGTCTGAGCAAGCACATGGGAGAGAGAGTTAGGTGCTATAAATAATATATAGTTAGCTGCATTAACTCAGTCACTGACTTGTTGCTTCTGTTTTGTCTTTGTGATGTATTTTAATTAAAGAAACGGAGCGTTGAACTTGAAGGTGAAGAAGAAAGGAGATATGGCAGCCAAGGTCTCAAATTTCTCCGATCTGATACAGAGAGTGGCATCTTCTTGCTTGCTTCACCCACTTGCCAATGCTCGACAAGACGACCAAAACGTTGAAGACGATGAAGAAGAACAAGACTATGAGTATAACTCAGAAGAAGAAGAAGAAGAAGAAAAGAGAGATGGAGGAGTCGAGATTGTGAGAGAGAGGGAAGTGGTGAGTGTAGAGAGAGTGATAGAACTGGAGACGATAATGAGCGAGGTGTTTGAGGCGTTTTCTGCTATGAAGAAAGCGTACGTTAGCTTACAGGAGGCGCATTGTCCGTGGGACCCGGAGAGGATGAGGGTAGCTGACGTGGCGATCGTGGGCGAGATGAGAAGGGTTGGTGTGTTGAGAGAGAGGTGGTTTAGGAGGAGGAGGATTGGTGACGGTGGTTGCGGCGGCGGTGGTGGTAGAGGAATGGTGAGAGAAGTGGTGGCGCCGTACGAGGCGGCAGTGGAGGACTTGAAGAAGGAGGTGAAAGCTAGAGAAGTTGAAGTTGAGAACCTGAAGGAGAAGCTGAAGAATGTTACTAATAATCTTGGCAGTAGCAGAAGGGGGAGGTCTTTCTCCAAGAGGAAAGTCAACTGCAACAGTCAAGCTCCTCAAGGTATAAAATTGACTCTGCAGACCTTGTATCTTGATGCATTTGATACTGTTTCTCAGTTATTATCAAATTATTTTATGGTAAACTGGTAGTTGTACTTATTCCATATCCAGAAAGAATAAAGATGTTCTGAAAAGCTTGTCCAGAAATCTCACATGAAATTGATTCTGATAACAGTTATAGCAGCACCAGCACCGGACCTGTTTGAAGCAACAATTAGCCTTGTGAAAGATGCATCAAAATCTTTCACATCGCTGCTACTCTCCCTTATGCGAGCTGCGCATTGGGACATTGCTGCTGCTGTGCGTTCCATTGAAGCTGCCTCTGCCAACAGCCCTGAAACAATCACCACCATTACGAGTTCCGTCGTGGCAACCAACCATGCCAAGTATGCACTTGAGTCCTACATTTCACGCAAAATCTTCCAGGGGTTCGACCATGAGACTTTCTACATGGACGGCAGCCTTTCTTCTCTCATCAATCCAGACCAGTATCGTCGCGATTGCTTCACCCAATACCGTGACATGAAGGCCATGGACCCTGTTGAGCTTCTGGGAATCTTGCCTACATGTCATTTTGGCAAATTCTGCTCCAAGAAGTATCTCGCTATCGTTCATCCCAAAATGGAAGAGTCCTTGTTCGGAGACTTGGAGCAGCACCGCCAAGTATTGGCTGGAAACCACCCAAGGAGTCAGTTCTATGGTGAGTTCTTGGGACTGGCCAAGGCAATTTGGTTGCTTCACTTGCTGGCATTCTCACTTGACCCAGCACCATGCCAGTTTGAGGCAAGCAGGAGAGCAGAGTTTCATCCACAGTACATGGAAAGTGTTGTCAAATTTTCTGGTGGCAAGCCACCCCCTGGTCAGATTGTGGGGTTTCCGGTGAGCCCTGGCTTCAAGCTTGGAAATGGAACAGTAATTAAGGCTAGAGTTTACCTGGTATCAAGGACATGAGGTATTTCATATCGGCTTGTTATATGTAGTTCATGGGTTTTAGGAAGAAATGGTGCGTTTGGGCTAGTGTTCACAGTTCCAGGTCACCGGTGATGTTTCCTTAAATAACAAGAAAGTCCTCCATAGAGGTTTTAGACTACTACTACATGTTATTAGTATTAAGCCTTTTAGATGTACTACTACATGTTATTAGGTCACTAATGTTAGACTCTGTAACATGAACATGTTCTATGCTACATGCTTCAGTGAAAAAAAAGGGTTCATCCAATCAGTCTGCCATGATGCTACAATTTTATTGCAGGATCTTGAAACTGCAGATCTTTTGCTAGGGTACTATGACCTGCATTCTACATGTTTCAATTCTCTGTTTCACAGAAATATAAGTTAAAATGATGCATGATTTGAATAACAGGGTAACAGCCCATTTGATCTAACCAGCATTGTCAAAATATATTTATAATGGGTTCATTGCAGGGCAAATTTATTGTGCTGAGCAAATTATGCTTTCACCATCAACCAAGTTGGTACAATATCAACATTTAACATGTACAAGTAAATATTCATTGAATGCCTCAAGTATGTTAAATAAGTTATATTTATTGAATGTCTCAAGTATGTTCACATCATCTAAAGTACATTTTGGAAAATTATGTCGATTTCAAAAAAAAAAAGAAAAGAAAGAGCTTGTTCTCTTACAGGAGGGTGTGGTACTATAACCCTGATAAATCGAATTTTAAGTCCTCTGAATATTCACAAGGAGAAAAGTTTCGTCTCTAAAGGAAATGGAAAGACTGCAGGGCCCATCTCATTTCTTTTCTGGGAGGTATAATCGGGGAACTACCAGGCAAAAGCTGTCTTCCGGCACCCAAAAAATCAGTCAACATACACTTCCCGGATGAAAACTTTCTTAGCCTGTCAAGAAGAGATTATAGAGAGGATAAGCAATTTCATTACTGGCAGTAAAAAGTATGAATTTCTTCAGATACACCAATAGTGGGTTAAATAAAAGCAAATAAAATAAGCCAATCCACAACAGATTAACAACAAAACAAAGTTAAAGTTTCCAAGTTCTATAAGACAAGAATGAAAGAAACTAGTTTCAGAAAGGCCATTTTGTTTCTTCAACAATGCACTTGGCTTGTCTAGATGACTCGGCCATAACATATCCTTACCAAGCAAGCATAAGAATTTAGTCCAATCCACAAAAATGTAATAATTGCAACATATGAAAACCAACAAGAAGTTCCAGAAACAATTACGAGAATCAGGAGATAAACAAGTGCCTAGGTTCACCTATACGTTTGGGAATATATCAAGTAGTAACCACAAAAGTTAAAAGGTGATATTCAAAGACTAAAATGGATAACAATCTGCAATCTTACTTGCTCAAGAGTCAGAAACATGATCACGTTCCAAGACCCCAGTCGACCAAAATTGGGAAGAAACCCCTTATAGAAGGCAGAAATTCCCTGCAGTGCATTAGCTGCTATTAGTTACTAATCAAAGAATCCTAATGGCATTAATTGAAATTTTTGCTCCTAAAACAATTAAGTTTCAGTCAAGATTTAATTGCAGTCAGAATTCTGCAAAAGAGAAAAGATTTAATAAAACCATGCAAGTTCGATAAGAATTTGCAGTTGTAAAGCATGTTAAACAGCTCATTTAAAATCTTTCACCAAATCAAAATCAAGAATTTCATGTCAAGTTCAACTTTCATCTGGTATCAAGGATATTTATATGAGACAAATACTCCAATATGACTCACAATCAAAATGAAATCCAGATAACAACTGAAAAATAGAAAATATAAAAATAAATAAAAACATCTTATTTTATATGACATCTACAGTGATGTGGTACATGATCAAGATGAAACTGTAGCATACCTCATTCTTCAAAGTCTTGATGAAACAATCAAGAGTGTTTTTGTAGCCTGAATCTCCCATCATTCTAGATTTTACCTGGAACAGAACATATATGACATACATTACTTCACATAGCAGTGATTGAGAAAGGTTCAATATGCTTATAAAGTGTGCTCTAGGACCAAAGCGTATAAGGAAACAGAAATTTAAGCCTGATGGTAATGCCATAAATTTGTACTTCAATAATATCTGTTATGTGGTTTCTTCGATTTATGTAAATAGTTCTTTGGTTTCTGCAACTTGGGCAACAGTGGACTGCAATACACTTTAGTCTAAGTCTTAAAAGGTAAAACTTTAACACTACAAGCTGATTATGATGATAAATAATGTGAACAACCAAAATCATAATTCTTCACTGAAAGCAGAAGCAGATATAGAAGGCCTACCACATCAATAGGAGAACCAATACAGACGGCAAAAAAGCCTGCACCAAGACCAGCTAGAATATGGGTAAAAACATTGTCCATGAACCCTGGAATTCTCAAAATCGTCTGCATAAGTTTGAATATATTAGGACATAATCAAGACATCAACTTAGAAATGATAACCTTAGTATTTCATACGACTCAACACTTGAAGTCACCTGTTTTACTTGATCATAACTGGCTAGCTCAGCAGCATTTATAAGAGCATTTCGTGCTATATTAGGTCCAAGTCCAGTCCATAGTGCTGCCAGTCCTTCCTAGTGTTTGTAATAAGTTAAATAAGTATGTCTTTGTGCATGTGTCTGTGTATGTATATATATTGAAGACAATTACTATACAAAACTAACCTGTCTCACTATGGTGTAATAGGCATCCAAGGTTCCATAATAACGCCTGGGCACTCCAGATAGTAATTTCCCTTCAGCTTGAAGTCGAACTTTAACAAGATCAGTTGGATTAGCCACGGCAATTGCTATAGCCCCTGTTTGTAGTGAAAATTGTATTTTAATAAGAGTTTGACATAAATAGTATGTACTTTAAATTGAAATGTAAACAAAATACCATATTGAGTATACTTTCAGCACCTACATATGGTCAAACCAAGAAGTTATGCAAGATCTACCCACTTTAGAGCAGCAGGCAGTCACCAAATGTACTCACCAGTCAGGAAAGCTGCAAATATTTTTTGGTATAAAGGAATATCTCCAACAAAATCACTGCCAACTAGGAAAGTTTTGACCTGCTCAAAAAGCATTTTTGTGAGTAGGCATCAATACATATCAAAAAATAAACAAAAAGAATTGACCACATTCATCAATGCAAAACATATCTTATACTTACAGGATCATATAACCCAACTCTTAAGCCTCCATAAATACATTGGCGATGTAACCCTGCTATTATCCCTTTCCATAGAGCCGATAAACCCTCTTCCCTTGCAATAGTAGCAACTGTACCCAACAAACCTCTATACTTAGACACACTAACCCCATCTTCACTAACCGTTTTCTTTTGGAGCTGAAGGCGGACTTTAGCTGTGTCCAAAGGTATGGTACACAGCTGCAAACATCAGCAAAATGATAAGTAACATTCAAATAATTGCAACTTGACTTCATTAAAAGACAATATGAGGAGAGCAAAGCCTCACTTGATCACTTGTAAACAAGCACAATAATCACTTGAAGCATGTGTAATTCCAACTGAACTATGAAATAATGAAGTATCTGGAACAAATTCTGAATAATCAAGTGATGAGTCTCTCTCACCTTTTTAGTTTGACTTTCAAGTGGCAATCAGTTTTTCTCCACTTAAAAAATTTGACCATACATTACTCACAGCAAAACACTCTTAATTCACTCAAAACAGAAACTGAAATACAATTCAAGGTAAAATTCATTCAACATTACAATAAATATCCTACATTTTGCACATACCCAGATACCAAAACAAATTCTAATGAAAAGTCAACGCAAAAAAAAAAAAAAAAAAACACATACCCAGATACCAAAACAAATTCTAATGAAAAGTCAACGCAAAAAAACAAAAAAAAAAATCATCAAATAAGTTTATAAGAAATGCTGAAATTGAAATCAAAACATATGCAGCAAAATCATTTGAAAACATAAGATACCTCAGCGAAACAAGCAGCAAAAGCGCTGCAGAAGAAGGTTTCAGTGAAAGAGATCTCAGGCCTGAGCTTGAGATCTGACATTGTGTGAGAGGTGGAAAGAGAAAGTGTTGGAAAATCAGTAGTGAGTATGAAGCAAAGCAAAAACACTTTATAATGGAATGATGGGAAACAAGCCAACTGCCAACAGCTGGTTTTTTTTTTTTTTTTAGTTTTTGTTTTGTTCTAAGAAAAAAGTCGTTGTCAGAAATCAGAATCGTATTGGTTTTGGCTTGCTGAGGTAGTTATATCTCCATAACACTCTTGATTTGTTTTTGTTTTTGTTTTTAATTTAATTGAAAATTAATGATGACTGATTTTTAATAAAAACAAACTGAATTTACCGGATGCCAAAACCCCTGGCCGAAGTCAATTATACCCAAGAGGTTTTGTATTGGCCCCACTCGACAGATAGTAATTCTAGGTCCATAACCTAATCATACAACTTTCTCTCACAATTCCCAATATGACAGTTTGTAATTAGTCAACTCGTAAATAGGTCATGTTTGCTTACTGTGGGTCCTGCCTACCTATTTGTAAGCTAATCAATTACGAGCTATCATGTCGGGGGTTTTGAGAGAAAGTTGTGGACTTAATATTACTGCCCGATAGACATCTACCATATTTGTGAATTTACTATCTTGTCATTAGGGGTGTGCAAAAATAACCGTTAACTGAACCGAACCCGAAAATTCGGGTCAATTTCAGGTATTTATTATGTGATACCCGAAATTTCGGTTCGGGTAGCGGATATTTATTTTAAGAGAACCAGGTACTCGGTATATTAAGAAATAAAAAAATAAAAAACCTAGTTTTTAAACCTATTTTCCTTTAACTTTCAAAGAGCAAGAGGCAAAAATCCCAAATCTTAAGTATTTAAGTTATTAAATTAAAAGTTGATTTAGTGTATGGAAGAAATTATATTCACAAATTGAAATTTGAAATGTAAAAAATTAAAATTCATGCAAAAATATTCAAATTCGGGTCATAAACCGGGTATCCGGTTTTTGACCCGAATATTAGGGTACCCAAAAAACCGAATACCCTTAAAAACGGTTTGGTTTGCAGGTACTCTTTTAGGGGTACCCGAATATTCGGGTACCCGGTTTTTGGGCAAAACCGGTTCAAGTACCCAATTTTGCACAGCCCTAAATTGTCATTGTTAAGTTAAAGTTTAACATTTTGTCCTTATTCAGTTGACAATAATGCTTGAGTTACCGATAAAGGTACCGATTTGACATACTGATTAAGTTAAAATTTGAGATTTTGAGAATTGGGCAAGTGCATCGGTATGTGAAAATCGGTAATTTACTCGGTAAACGTAGTATTACTGTTCAGTTGAAGTTAACAAAATGATCTTAACGATGGGTGGAAAACTATTTTTCTTAAAAAAATTAAATTGGGTGGGAAAACGTAATTACGATAAACCTTGGGCGGGAAATTGTAATTCACTCGTCATTTATTTGTTTAATAAGTTTGATTGTGAATAGGTGGGCTTGGGTTATTTATAGTTATTTTTAAGAAATAATTTATCCAATATCGGTTTGATTTGTTTGTATAGATTTGATAACTGTTTCTAAATCATGAGTTTATAAGAAAGAAAATAAGTTTTTTGTTTTTTTTTTTTTTTTTCCATGATCAGGGGTGTCTGTCAGTTTAAGCGCACTTCAACTAATTCCTTGAAACTCTAAAACTATTAATCAAATAAGAACTTCAATACATACCCTATTAGCAACTAACAAACTCAGGAGTTATTTATCTATTATTGATTTTGGAACTTCAAAAGAGTGTGGTTGGGAGGCTTAAATAACACTATTTTTGTTTTGTTTTTTTAAAAGAAAGGGAAGTGATTTTTAGCCCCCATCAAATTAATCACTATTTCTCATTATATTTAAAAAACTTCTCTTTGAACCCCATTAATACTGAAAATAGCTTTGCTTAATTAGGTTTTATTTGCATCACTTTTCCTCCAATTTCAAGCTTAATTAGGGTTTTTTATTACACATTTTTTCCCTAATTTCAAACTTAATTAGGGTTTTTTTTTACATCACCTTTTTCCCAATTTCTTAAATAGGTTTCTTTTGCTCATATACCATTTTCTGAATTTCAAGTTTGAAACTTACTTTTTAGTCTTCAGATTCTTATTCATCTTGTTTGTTTGAATACTTTCTTCATAACTTTAATAATATATTTTCATCAAACAAATAATTGTTTAGGAAAAAAATGTTTTAATGATTTAGAAAATTTTGGATTTAGGGTTTAGGTAAGAATAAAAGGTTAGAAATATAAAAGAGAAAATTATATTTTGGGTATATTTCATTTAATCTCATAACGGCAAAATATAAAAATTAATTAAAAAGTAGTAAGTGTTTTATTATGTGTGTTTTTTTAATATTTTTAAAGGGGTTTTCATAATCATAGAAAATACATAAATATTTTTTCAATAAAAATATTTATATTGAAGTGAAATAAATGGTATATATTTTAGTAATTTAAAAAAAGATTGGTGATTAATGGTATTATTATATTTTTTCAAAAACATTATAACTTCCCTAGCTTTGTTTAAATGAAGATCATTATACATTTGGGCTGGCCCAAATATTGCATTCGTGAATGTATTTGTCACGGTCCAAGAGACGCAACTATTTGGTAATCACACAAATAAATTGTTTTACGGTTATAGTCTTAAGAGAACCACCAACTCCAACAATCGTCCATGTACGGTCCATATTAGATTTGACCAATCGTCCGTCTTACCTCTTTTATGTTCGTGACAGTTCATTTTTGTCTCAGTAGAGTATTTCAGTGACATGTTTCGATCCTCTTTTCCACTATTCAGAAAAAAGTAAACCAATGATTCAGGTACAGGAAACTATCATTAGCGCATGGACAGTTAGATATCCAACTTGTAATTGCAACGACCCAATTGCAAAAGTGGAGCTCTACCAACCTCTGTTTTAAAAATCGGACTCAACCGGTCGGTCGGACTGGGACCCGATAGCTTCTCCGGTTCGGTTTAGGTCTTAGGGGGTTTTTGTAATATTTCAAAATTATAAAGGTTAATTTACAATTTTATAGGGGTATTTTGGAGATATGCCAAAAGTTTAGGGATTATTTAGTAATTTTTTGGGGGTATTTTTGAAATAAATAAAAATTTTAGGAGCTAATTTGAACTTTTTAGGGAAAATTTTGTAATATATTAAAAATTGAGGGATTAATAATAATTTTTTAAGAATAAAATTGTCACTGACATCATCGGTCCAACCAATTGACCCGTAATTCGGACGACAAAACAGGTTACCCTCGGATCTGGGTTTTAAAACAATGCTACCAACTTACCTATATCGCTCGAGCCAAATAGAGTATGCATGAAGGAGTTAGATCTAATTGATGAGTTATACATCGTGGATTTTCTTAGCTTTAAAAAAGAGTGTAGTAGAAGGCATTGACCTCTATAAAATAATGTTTTAAAAATCGACCCGAGACAAAACTCGGCAAGAGGGTCAGGTCTTGGGTCGACCGGTTTAACCGGTTGAACCAACTGGTTTAACCGGTGAACGGTAATTTGACGTCATCAGCATGATGATGTCATCAAATTACTGTTCACAGAATACATTTCTTTCCCAAATTTTACTCCAAAGTCCAAATCATAAACTCCAAAATAAAAAATCCATAGCAAAACATCATCAAACATCATTATATCAATAATACAAATCAAAATAACAAAATTAATGAAGAAAAATAACATAATAGTTGTTTCAAGTTTTCAACTTTCAAGTCAACGACTCAACATTTCAATATTCTAACAAAAATTGATCTTCACCAAATGGTCCTCAATCAATCTATCCATCATTCCATCCTCAATTAAAATTGACAATTCACACACAACCTAATAGATGATCATCATCATTATTAAAATAGGCGACATCATCTACAAAAAATTCTAGCAAAAAAGAAAAATCATGAGTTAAATCTTCTCATTTAAACTAATTGAATATAAACTAGCTAATACCAAATTGAAATTGCTTAAAAAATTGTAAATAACCTTCTGAAGCATCTGTTGAGTCATAATAAGAAGGGTGATCACCAAATTCACCACCATCTACAGGAATAGCTCCTTCTCCATATAATGATTGTTCCAATTCATTATAATTAAGCTCACCAACCTCCTCTTCCTCGTCAACTATCCACCATTAAGTTTTATCAATACTCTCATAATCAATAGGATCATATGTAATTTTCTTGTAACAACTAACAACTCCTGAAATAGCAAAATTAAATATTCAAATCATGACCAATAAAGACATCAATAAAAATAATAAAATGAAGAAGACTTTATACCTATTTTGCAAACGCAAGTTATAATGAGTGAAAACCAAATCATTCAACCATGGATGCTCCAGTCTGTTCTTCTTTTTAGTATGTATGCGTTCAAAAACACTACAATTTCGCTCATATCCGGAAAAGGCCGAAGTTTGGCTTAGAATTTTGATTGCAAACTTTTGCAAATTTGGAGTACTAAACCTAAATGTCCTCCACCATTCATCTAATTGAGAATAAAAATATAAATTACATAAGAAATAAACACAATTTCATAACTTAAAAATTAGACTTAAAAAGTTAATAACTATTACATACATGGCCGTGTAGTTTTGCATGTTTGAAAAGCAAGCTCACGAGAAAAGCTTTCTAGACGATCTCGATATAATCTACTCTCCTCCAGTAACGTTGTCTTGCTCATTTTGAATGCATTTGCTTTATTGTCAATAGTGTCAAGAAAACCATACATGACCTCAGGTTTTTTGAAAAAAAGTGTCCTCGTCATATTTAAAAGCAGGATTCAAGTAATATGCTGCTGCATGAAGATCATGACATAACATCCTATCCCAACGCATCTTGATAATTGTTGTATAAGGCTTGTACAGATTTGTCTTGTTCTTAAACAGCTTCTTGATTCCCATCCTCGTTCTATACATGCCATCATACACATATCCTATTGAAGGCCTCTCATCTGACTCTACAATCCGGAGCATACGCATCAATGGACTCACAACTTTGGAAACTATACCAATGTCATCCCATAACTGGTTATCTAGAACTATGGAAATAAAGGCTTTGCCTTTATTAGTTTTTGCATATCGGCACTCCACAAAAGTTCTATCTGTCATTGTAGATTGCAAGTCATATTTGTGCTAATGTAGGCTGCTCAATGCAATGAAAGTTGTGGCAAAACGGGTTGCACCTAGGCGTATAATTTTTGTCCAACCCTATTCAAGTCATAGACAATAAATGTTAGTACTTGGTAAATTTTTAAAAAGTGTACATATATAATATATCTTGACAATGTAAATTATAAACATATGAAGTAAAGGTATATAACCTGTTTTTTCCTCAGCAAAGCCAGCACAAATGAATGATTATACACAAATTTGTAACCTCAGATGCACGTGTCAAAAGGTTGACTATATGACTCATCTCAGCCATGTCTTTCAACATTAAATTAATACAATGTGCTACACAAGGAGACCAAGTAATACTGTTATATTTTTCAGACAACATTCTTCCAGCAGCTTTATAGTTTGCTCCATTGTCAATGACAAGATGGACAATATTGTTTGGTCCAACCTATAAAGCTATTTCCTCAAACAAGCCAAACAATGTTGCAGCATCCTTTACAACATTTGAAGCATCCACTGATTTCACAAAACACACTCCTTTAGGACAGTACACTAGAAAATTAATCAGCGACCTATGTGAATTATCTGTCCAACCATTAGCCATTAAAGTACATCCAACATCCTCCCAAGTTTTCTTGTAACTATCAACAAGTAATTGCACTTCTTTCTTAACATCTCTCAATAAATTCACACGCAAATTATGGTAAGTTGGGATTTTATACCCAGGACCAATTGCAGCTATAACATCTGCCATAGGTTGAAAATAAATTGAATTAATAACATTAGTTGGGATGCAAGAATCATAAAATAACCTTGCAACAGCCATGTCCGCTCTCCACTTAGCTTCCTTTTCGGCTAAAACACTCCTAATTGAGGGTTGACACCCAACCTTAGTCTTCGGAGCAAAATAGTCACCTATCCCAATAGATTTTTTTATTTTACTGCTTGCAGTTGAAGTTAGAGCTGGAGCTGGACATGGAGAAACCTCTTTACACTCTTGATCTTCATCTAACATATCACCCTCAAATTGTTGTACACTAGCTCCATAAGGATTGACATTCTTACGAAGTTCAACTTTTTGTTTATTCTTGGCCCCAATTTTATTTAGTGCTTCTCCAATCTTGAATTTAACATCGAAAGGAACTTTAGGGCACTTTCCAACTTCTCCCTTTATACCCGCTAGATGCAATTTAACTCGATAGATTCCTCCACCTTTGACTATCTTGCCACAGTAAAGACATGTTAATATTTTCTTCCCATTTTCATCCACGCCCTCATTAACATGTGCCCATGCTATATCATTTCTTCCTCGAAAAGTTTGTGAAACATCCATGGAAGTAGATTGTTGACAAGACCCAGATGATGACATATTCTTTGTCTTTAATCTTGATATCTACCCTGGCAAGTGGCAACACAAATAAAAAATAAGTTAGTAATTACATGTATCCGAAAAAACAGTGTATTAGAAAACTTTATACCACTTGTCCACAATTTTTTTATAGAATTACATGTATTCAAACAAATAGTTCCATAATGAACTCCTAAATCTCTAAAAAAAGTGGAAGGGACAATACATCCATAGGTTCTGCCTACATTGTATTATACTATTATCCTTCACTTTTACATGTTGTTGACCACTTTCTCAATGTTTAGAAGATCTTCACTAACCATTAATTCTTTTCTGATCTTTAATAAATTAATGCCGAAACAAAAACTACTCAAATTTTGCATACTTCTATAATACATAATCACAGTATTACAATAAAAATTACCAACAATTCAGAACTGGTTCACCAATCAATTGAATCCTATAGGTTTGAATGAATTCAATAACTTTTACAAAACAAAAGTTAAATATAATGTTTTGGTGTTCCCATTTCGGTTCAAACTTCAGAGTTTACTAAATCACAAAGCCACAAACTACGAAGGCTTCCCATTTCGGTTTAGCCTGATGCCCTGATCATGCACATTCTCTCTTCATCAATCTTTAATCTCAATGCACATTCTAAATTAATTATGAATTTATAAGTTTTTAGGTTGGTAGAGAAGAGTGCTACTTTGTCATTACTCATTAGTTCTCCCTTCAAAGAATCAAAGTTCAAAGTTCAAACTTCAATCTGTAAACTGTAAAGCATGAAGCCTACTACATTGCAAACTAAGACATCTCATGCATAAGACCTGAAGGCTGAAACAAAGACATGCCTACACCGTGACAGTTACCTGCTAGTGAAGATGAGCTGCCGTTTGTTGCCCGTCGGGGAGGTGGAGCTCGGCTGTGAACAGGGCAACTATAAAGAGCTGAGTCAGATTCAAGCAATGTGAAGAAGAGTGTGTGCAACTCTGAGATCGAGATCGACTGTGCACTGTGTAGCTCCGAGAAGAATCAAGAATGAAGACGATGGATTATGGCATAGATCGACGGTGATGAAGAGTGGATGCCAGAGAAGATTGCGAAATGAGCGGCACCCCAACTGACGACGAAGCAAGCCGTTGACCGTGAAGGCTGCAACGACGAGTTTCAACGGTGAAGGGAAGACTCTAGCGGTAATTTTCAGAGTTCAGTGAGAGTGAAGCTTCAGAGTTCAGACTTTCAAAGCAAAGGGTGGGAAACGCGTGAAAATGGGAGGGAAATGAGGGAAAGGAAATGATATTGGGGTTTACTGTTTAAGTGTTTATTATTAAATTTAATTATTTTATATTATAAATGTTGACCCGGATTTTTTAAAATGGACGGTTGGACCGGTGGGTGCTACAGTACACCGGTCCTACTGCGGGTGCCAGCGGACAGAACAAAAACACTGGTTTTTAGGCTCACCCGGTCCGACTCACCAGTCAGGTCCTGGTTGAACTGGCCGGGCCGGGTTTTAAAACATTATAAATACATATTTCTGAAATAATGAATTTTTTTTTATTTTAATTATTAGCCATATATTCAATTTAAAACTATTTTAAATAACCATTTCCCCCCCGAATCCAAAGTTTGCGGGGACCCATGCAAACTTATAACGCACGATAAGAAAATACCACTACCACACACGATTATTCCCTCCCAAACCCGTTGGCGGGAACCAATAAGCCCAAACTCCCGCCAATTACATTCCATAATTTAAACCATTTCCCCAAATCTAACCCGCTCCAACCCGCCAATATAAACCCAAACCCAATCCCTCCCATTTTTTCAAAGCCAGTCCTAACCCTAACCCCAAGAAACAAAGTAAGAAAGAAAGAAAAAAAAAAGCACCAGCAAAAATGCTTGAACTAAGGTTGGTCCAAGGGTCTCTTCTCAAGAAGGTGTTGGAGGCTATCAAAGACTTGGTGAATGACGCGAACTTTGATTGTTCGGCCACCGGGTTCTCCCTGCAAGCTATGGACTCCAGCCACGTGGCGTTGGTGGCTCTTTTGCTCAGATCGGAGGGCTTCGAGCACTACCGATGTGACCGTAACCTTTCCATGGGGATGAATCTGGGCAACATGTCCAAGATGCTGAGGTGTGCCGGTAATGATGACATCATCACCATCAAGGCTGACGATGGCAGCGATACTGTTACTTTTATGTTTGAAAGTCCCAGTAAGTTTGTTTTTGCTGAAGTTAACTTTTTGGTTTCTTTCTTTGTTGATGTTAGGGTTTTCGTTGGAGGATTAGGGTTTATGGTTTTTGATATTAAATTGACCGTTTTGTTCGTTGATTTGGGGTTTTGGTGGTTTGGTTTCATATGGGTACCTGTTAATTTTAAGAAATTTAAGTTTCGCTTCGTTGGAGTTTCCCCCTTTTCAAACACCCGTTGGTTTCATTTCTGTCCCATAAACAGTAAATGTTTTATTCTCGTATTCCTTAAAGATCCCTTTGTTTCTTTCCTCCCAGAAAGGGTGGTAAAAGCAAAATTCCAAAGCATACTATTTTTTTTTTTAAATATATATTTTTCTTGTAGTTGCAGTTTGAGTCTTTGAATAATTAACGTTGTCGATACTATAACCGTAGACTGTTGGATTCGATGTTCTTGCTTTTTTGTATGTCAGTTTCTTTTTTCAAGATGTTTGGAAATATTAAAAGCAGGTGTCGTGATGTTTTCTATTTTCTTTTAAGTCTGCTCTGTTTTTATTGGGAAGAAACTATTCAAAAGATTAAAAATGTAGTGTTGGTACTTATGTTTGTTGCTTAATGTGGTTTAATAAACAATGCTGCTGCAATGAGTTTAATTTGAACTGTATAAATCAGCTATTCTTTATGTTTACTACTGTAAGCATGTTACTTTGTTAGCTGACATGATTTTGTTCAATTTTTTGTTTTGGTAATGGTTGGATTTCATTGTAGCACAAGATAAGATTGCAGATTTTGAAATGAAGCTGATGGACATTGATAGTGAGCACCTTGGAATCCCTGAGGCCGAGTATCATGCTATTGTCCGGATGCCTTCAGCCGAGTTTGCTAGGATTTGTAAAGACCTTTCCAGCATTGGTGATACTGGTAATATATTGTTATGTCAGTGAAATTTTGGATTTCTCAAGTTCTTTAGGTAATATTTAGGGAATCTGAATTGATTTTTGTGTTCGGTGATTGTACAGTTGTGATCTCTGTGACAAAGGAAGGTGTGAAATTTTCCACCAGGGGTGATATCGGGACTGCTAACATTGTACTAAGGCAGAATACCACGGTGGACAAGGTATATTTAGTCCTGTGTAAGCGATGCTATTTCTATTTGTGTTTCGTTGGTTGATAGGTGTGAGATTGATTTTGCAGCCAGAAGATTCAACAATAATTGAAATGAATGAACCAGTGTCATTGACTTTTGCACTGAGGTACATGAACTCATTTACAAGGGCGACTCCATTATCCAACACTGTCACAATCAGCTTGTCTTCAGAGCTACCAGTCGTGGTTGAATACAAGATTGCTGAGATGGGTTACATCAGATTTTACTTGGCACCCAAGATTGAAGAGGATGAGGAAGAGACTAAGCCTCAAATTTAAAGGACATTTTAATAGTCTGTAGGCTTATTTTTCATTGTTCAATCAATGAATCAAGTTGTATGAATAGTGTTTCTTGGTGAATTTTAATTTTAATGAACCAAGCAGTTGTAGTTTGATAGGTATAAATATCCCTTTTATGTGGCTTGATTCTTTTTTAGGCTCTATGAGAATATGATTTCTCAGTGTTTTGTGTACCTTTCAGTTACTGTTTGTGGTTCTCACTTGACATAGAACCTTTTAAAATTTTAAGAAATAGGTCAAATGGGAAAATATTTGATTGTTTGCTCATGGCAATAGCTTAGCCCTGAGTTAGGAGAATTTTGAATTGTTGAAGATGGACTCGTTTTATAAGACACGATCATTGTTTTAAAACTTGGCTTGGCCAATTGAAACGGGACTTGGGGGAGTTATCGAGTTGGGTTACAAATTTTTTTATTCGTTTAAAACTTTAGAAATTAGGATATCGATTTTTGAATAATTGAAGGTTGAAATGTTAGGGATTTTGAAAAGAAATGGTTGGTGAGTGGAATGGTGGCAATAGAGGTGGTTATCGGTGAGTGAATCGATTGGGAATCACAAAACTAAATTGTCGGAAAAAATTTGTTGTCAATGATTGGGGAGGTGAACGGAGGAAGGGTGGGATGGGTTTTGATTAGGAGATTGAGGTAGTATTTTCGTGGTTATGGGAATTGTTGTCGTTGTCGGAAACAAACCTTATTTGTTGACACCGAGTTGTTGACAATAGTGTTTAGGGTGTTTTTGTAAGATTTCAAACTTTTGGACACCGGTTTGATCTGTCGGTCAAACGGGGATTCGTCACTTTGTCGGTTTCACCTCGGGTTGGTTTTTAAACACTGCACGATTCATACAGTACGACTAACACGCACAATCATTCCCTTCAAAAAGATAAACCAATCAGTTTTAAAGCCCGCCAATAACACTCCAACGTTTAAAGTTTTAAACAATTCTCCCAAAACCCAACTCCCTCTACCAGATTACGACTTCAATTCTAAGTTGGTTTCTTATTTGAGTTCTTTTCCAATTTGTATCAGAGTTTCTAATATTATTACGATTTGTACACTTTAGTTTCATAATCTGGATAGGATTAGATTAATACAACTATAAATGGGGTTGAAATTTCTTAACTTTCACAAAATTTTGTTTGTGAATTGGGAAGATGGTAGAACTAAGGCTTGTTCAAGGGTCTCTACTGAAGAAGGTGTTGGAGGCGATGAAGGACTTGGTGAATGATGCCAACTTCGAATGTTCAGCCATCGGGTTATCAGTTCAAGCCATGGATTCTAGCCACGTCTCATTGGTGTCCATGTTGCTCAGGTCAGAGGGTTTCGAGCGCTACCAATGTGACCGTAATGTTTCAATGGGGATTAATCTGGGCAACATGTCGAAGATGCTTAAGTGTGCTGATAATGATGACATCATCACCATCAAGGCTGAAGACTGCAGCGATTCTGTTACTTTTATGTTTGAAAGCCCCAGTAATTTTTTTTTTTTTTTTGCTTCTATCTCATGACTTCCCTGTTATATGCATTATTTTTTTCAAGATATGCAGAGACTAAAATCATGGGGAAGTCATAATCTGCATTTTCTTTATTGAATTGCAGCACAGAAGATATCGGATTTTGAGATGAAATTGATGGACATCAATTGTGAGCGAGTTGGAATCCCAGATTATGAATACAATGATATTATTAGGATGCCCTCAGCTGAGTTTGCAAAGATTTGTAAAGATCTTGCCGGCATTGGTGATTCTGGTAACATCTCATTTTTACATTGTGTTTGATAATGAAATTCAGGGCTTGTGGATTCTAAATTCTGGGTTGATGATTATGTGTAGTTGACTAGTTGTGATCTCTGTGACGAAACAAGGTGCAAAGTTTTACACAAACGGTGACATTGGAGCTGCTGCCATTGTAATCAGGCAAAATACTACGGTATATAAGATATTTATTTATTTTTTTTAAAGCGGGATTCTGAGATTTCGTCCACATTGAAATGAAAATCTCTGTTTGTGTTTGGGTTTGTATCCAGAAGAAGCAACAATAATTAAAGTGAAAGAGGCAGTGTCATTGACATTTGCAATAAGGTTCATGAACTCATTTACAAAGGCAGCTCCATTGTCAGATACTGTGACAATCAGCTTGTCCTCAGATCTGCCTGTTGAGGTTGAGTACAAAATTGGTGAGATGGGTTACATCAAATTCTGTTTGGCTCCCAAGCTTGAGGAAGATGAGAATTAGACTATGCCTTCAATTAATTTAAATGCAATCTTAATTTTTCTCTTAATATTTTGATGAACTAGGCATTTGCAGTTCAGTAGAATGTGAAAAAGATTCAAATGCAAACTGATAAATCAATAGGAAAATAATAATGGGTGAAATCCATAGATCGTTTGTGATCAAATTCAAATGCAAACTGATAAATCAGCAGCTCTTATAAATGATCAAGATTCTGTGATAAATCTTTGACTTAAAAACCGCATAAACTGATAAGACACTATAAAAACAAACCATATAACCATCAATCATTCCCGCCAATAATACTCTACTGTTGGACAACTCTCTCAAAGCTCATAGGAGAAAGTAATTGAGATATTCTGCAATAAAGGCAATGAAGGAGTTGGTGAGTGAAGTAAATTTTTTAACTTTTCGGCCACAGGATTATCTATTCTAGCCATGTATTCTATCCATGTGTCGTTGGTGTCCCTGTTGCTCCGATCAGAGGGTTTCAAGCTCTAACAACATGAGCATAATGTTTCCATGGGGATGAATCTGGATAACTTGTCCAAGGTGCTGAAGATTTCCAGCAATGATGACATTATCACCATCAAGGCTGAAGACTACACCGATACTGTCACTTTTATCTTTGAAAGTCCCTGTAAGTTCCCTTTACGGAATTTTCAGTTCAGTTTGGTAGATTTTTATTGCTTATCATATTCATCAGTTAACAACATGGTTTAATAAAATATATAACTGACAATGGCATGGCTTTCTTGAATTTTAGCTGGAGGAAAGATTTTTGATTCTAAGATGAGTTTGATAGACATCAGTTGTGAGCAAGTTGAAATCCCGGATTCTGAATACAATGCTATTATTAGGATGCCTACAGCTCAGTTTGCAAAAAAATTGTAAAGATTTTGCCGCCATTGGTGATTCAAGTAACATCAATTCAGGGATTCTTTTACTAATGTTTTTAGTAATTTGAATGGATTCTAAGTTCTGGGTTGATACTTGTGTGCGCAGTTGTCATCGCAGCCACAGAAGAAGGTGCAAAGTTTTCCATTGAAATGACAAGTATCGACCTTCTGTTAGTAGACAAGGTATTTTTAATCTTTTTTTTAACTGGGATTAGATTCGATTCTGAGATTTCGTGTACATTGAAATTAATTTTGGTTTGGTTTTGGAGCCAGAAGAAGCTTTTTATAATCGAAATGGAAGAACCAGTGTCATTGAAATCTGATCTGAGGTTCATGAACTCAGCCAGAAGAAGCATTTTCTTTCTTTTGCTTTGATTTTTCATATGTTTGATGAGAAACCGCTCTTAATTTGTAGTTTAGTTTAATTACTTCATGGAAAAGGATGAACCATTCTTTAGTTTAAACAGCGAATCTGAGCTTATAGCAGTTAACAAGCAGATCATCTTGGATGAATAAACCCCATGAAAGAATTAATACAATGAATGAAACCAAAATTTCCTGCAACCTTGGTCCAGAATCTTGTTGCTTCCCATCCCCGGAATAAGGATCACTTTGCACAATGATCTAAATTGATCCATGATATACTCCTTCTCTTGGCTTCACTGTAGAGAATGACCCCAACGACTGTGATAGTATAGCCGAGCATCCCTGTGACCGACACTGGATTTCTGAATATCAATATTGACACAACCACTGCAACAGCTCCTTTTGCATTTCCCAAAACCTGGAAGATTCAGCACATTGTAATTTTCACCAGAACCCAATTGGGAGGATAAAATCTGACTTTTTGCAAAGTGACTTTTATGAGCTGATATCCAGTTTCAACATTGAACATAGTGTAAAATACCTGAAGGGTCAAGGCACTAGTGTGCTTGGTGACCAAAAAATTGGTCAAATTCACAAAATATGCTAGTGCTGAATTGAAGATCAGATAGCATAAGAACTTCAAATCTTGTCTAGCAAGTGTAATTGTGATCCCAATTACATCTTCTTCTACTATGAGTGCTACAGGAAGAAGGAACAGAAACGCTAATGGAGCCATGTACATGAGGAGGTTCATAGAATTAAGCTTTTCGCTGTTACAGAAAAATGGAGATGGTTGTCAACTAATAACAAAATGTAGATGGTAATTAAGGATATGTTCCATATTCAATACCCTTCAGAAGAAAGCAAAATCCCTTGCAGAACTGACTTCAGTGCCCGAGCTGCTGTGGCACCAAGGCACATTATAAATCCAAATAGATGAAAACTTGGTTCTCCCTTCACCCAAGTAATTAGAGGAAAACAAGATCAGTTAATTAAAATCATCATCCCACCAACCAAACAGAGTCTTTAACAGTTGTGCAATTCACACATCAACAACACGCATTAGCTTCGTTACAAAACCAAGAATTTGATTATATCAACATACTTTATTAATAAAAAGACAGAAAAAAAAATGCATTTTCTGATACAAATTTGATGTAGAGAACAAAAGGGTCAGGCTGTAGTATATCAAAACATATGTAGATAGAATCAAGTAAAGCCAAGAGAGAAAAAAAAAGAAGAAGCTCTTACTCCAGTGGCAATAATAACACCAGCAACAACAGGGATGAGAGTGACATAAGTAAGCCACGCCTCTCTCTTGAAAGTCATCAAACAAGCAAAAACCGCTGTGAAAAATGGTGTGGTGGCTCCCACGGCCTGATTAAACGACACAGGAAGGTACTTCAAGGAGATGTTGCCACCCACAACAGATAAGCAAAAAATAAGTCCAAGAGCACATATCTTGAAGAACTGCATTGGAGACTTTATGATTTGCAATGTCGTGACTTTGAGCCAATAAACAGCAACAAAGCTCAACAAAGAACACGCCAACATGTGACACAAAGTGAGGAAAATTGGGTACTTAAATCCATAGTTACTAAGCAAATATTTGTTTAGTAATAAAACTCCAATATTTGTGGAGTACCATGATACAATAAGACCAGTTGTGAATAACCCACTTGAAACTTTCATTGCCTATGTTTTTTTGGTTTGTTTGCTTAGATTTTTGTGGGATTCTTTTAAAGAGAAAAAAAAAAATGTTATAATGGAGATGGAGGTGGTGGGTTAAGTCAGTTAAGGTTAAGAGTTTGGATGTAAAATTGAAGGGTGAAAAAGAAAGGAAGATAATCCAGATTTGAGTGGTTGAAGAGAGAGTGACTTTGAGAGAGACATGATTTTTTTTTTTTTTTTTTTTTTTTGGGTATTAAGACATTAGCTCCCTGTTCTTTGTTACAGACTTCAATGGAACTTGAAGGTCCATTGAGTGACGATAAAGAAAGATGGGCGGAGTTTTATCTGTGAAAAAGATTTGAAAGTTTTTCAAGAGTTTAATTTTACAATAATGCTACGGACACCGGGATTTTTGCACCGAAATATTGTACCGGTCTACGTGTAATACACATCTGAATATTTTTATAATTTTTTTCTAGTGAACGGTCGTCCATCAAATTTGGACGGCCATTCACTCACATGGACGCCCGTCCATATGGGTGTTCAAAAGAATCGGTTGGAACCGGAACCGGCGGGTACCCTGGGTTTGGTTCCGGTTCCTATCCAGAACCAGTTGTCAATGGGTAGGTTCCGGTTCCAAATTTTTGGAACCGTTACTGTGCGGTTCCAGTTCCTATAGTTAGGAACCAGAACCGGAACCAGGAACCAGGAACCGAGACTAATATAAAATAAAATTAAAGATTAGGGGAGTTAATAAAACTTTTGTAGAAAAAGTAATGTGAAACATTATATTTATATTTCATAACATTTAAAGTAAGTTGGTTTGACTTTTGAGAAATAACTTTACAAAGTAATGGAGTTTGTAATTTTGAATTATAATTTGTATTATTTTTGTAACAAGTGCCAGGTGGGGGAGTATTTGTAAGTTTTTAAAGGTTTTTGCTATTTTAAAAACTTTTGGGGGGTCATGTAATTTTACAGGGTACCAGAATCGGAACCGGAACCATTTACAGGTTCTGGTTTTGGGTACCTAGGAACCAAAACGTCGGTTCTGGTTCTGGTTCCAAATTTCAAGGAACCGTCGGTTCCGGTTCCGGTTTCGGTTCCTTCAAAAAGTGTAGGGTACCCGGAACGAACACCTCTAAATTATATTATATGGACAGGCGTCCCTATACAAGAGACGGGCGTCCCCATAAATAAAATATAATAAAAAAAATTATAAATATGGGGACGGCGTCCATCTGTTATGGACGGCCGTCCATTACTTTTGGACGGGTGTCCATTGTAATGGACGCCCGTCCATACTTAAAATAAAAAAAAAAAAAAAATTCTGCTTCTTCTTCTTCCTTTCGTAAATGTTCCATTTTCTTTCTATTGGAAAAGGGCGCCATGCAGCTTGGATGAAGCATGCGGCCCATGTCCTCACATATTATGAGTAGAACCTAAAGGTGTGCTCCCTCTTATCTTTCCTAAGTTTCCTAGCCAGCTGATGAAACTCTTCAGAACTGTGTCTTGTGATTTCTTCTCCACTTCTTGGGTTGCCATTGTGACTGAGTTAAAGGAGTAGTGTTGTTGAGATAGTAAAGATGGAAGAGTTGGATGAATTTAAATTTTCAAAGATGGAATAGAAAAGGGCAAATACCCAGCTGGGGTTGTCTTGAAGAATAAGTTAGAAAGTTAAAGATGAAGTAATTTACATATTCTTGAAGAATTTGGATACCTTCGCAATTTTGTGAGAAGCTATTCTGGGGGCAAGATAAGCCAATCCAATAATATTGATCATCTTCTGAAATATATAAGAAATAGGAACTGAAACCCCATGAATAATTGCACCAAGATCCCAAAGCCATTAACACACAGTCCTAAAAATCTGCAAATGTAATAGTTTCAGCAATGAAACTCAAAACAAACAAGAAGAGAAGAATGAAACAGAATAGAAAAAGAGAGAAAGAATAATGGACGGCGTCCCTTTAGGGTGGACTGCCATCCTAAATAATGGACGGGCGTCCATTAGTTATGGACGCCCGTCCAAAACTTAAGGGACGCTCGTCCACAATTTATGGACGGGCGTCCAATTTTTTATTTTATTTTTAAAACAAATTAAGGTGACGGGCGTCCCGTATTTGCGGACGCCCGTCCAAAATTAAGGGACGGCCGTCCACAACCTATGAACGGCCGTCCATAATGTTTTACAAATTTTTTTATTGTATTTTATTTATGGACGGACGTCTTTTCTTGTATATGGACACCCGTCCATATAATATGGACGGGCGTCCATGTGAGTGAATGGCCGTCCAAATTTGATGGACGGCCGTTCACTAGAAAAAAATTGTAAAAATATTCAGAGTGCGTTACACGTAGGCCGGTACCGAATTTCGGTGTAACTTTTCGGTGTCGTAGTGTATTGTTAATTTTATCTGTAAAACAATTTGAAGAGGATAATCTCTTTTGTTACTTGGAAGATTTCATTGCAAAATAACATCTAAATATGATTTTCTTACATTTTCCCCCTTGTGTTTTATTTTATCCGATATGAAGTTGGGAGAGAAATGATAGGGTAGATGAGCTATAATTTCAATAGCTTTCTAGATTTTTGATAGTTACCAATTAATTTTAGTTAAAACAAAATAAAAAAAGAGAAGAAAAATGTGTATCCTTTATCAGTTGCACTGCCTTGATGTAGAAAGTAATCCTCTAATAAAGTTTAATTTGCCTTTTTTTGGTTTTGGATCTTCCAAATCATTCCCAGAAGAGATTCGGACATTTTTTTTTTTTAAAAGGTTCATTTTCTTCATACAACGAAATCCCTTATTACACATTAGAGAATTTGAATACCTCATTCAAGAATTGTTTTTGATCAAATCCGTAGGAATCAATAGTAACATGAAATCCCTTATTATACATTAGATCCGATTGCATCATTGACAGAGTGAATAAATCTGCCATTAATTGGAATCTCTCTTCTGATTCAAAATGATGGTATAACATGTATTCCCTAGTTCGGGTCATCAAATAGATGAAATAAATCAAAAAATGGATTTTTGTTTAAGAATGAAATCTTATTGAACCTGTCCATATCCAGTTCATGCTTCGGAAGAATAATACTACACATACATCATTTCTATACAACATTTCTCATACAACATTATGTGACAAGATGTGATTGGGTGAAAGTTTAATTTTAACTTTAAATTAACTAATCATATCTTATCACATAATGTTGTATGAAAAATGTTGTATGAAAATGATGTATGTGTTGTATTACTCGCTTCGGAATCATATCACACCCGGATCCGATGAAATAGGATGAATTAAGAAAATGCTCGCCATGATTCATAAAAAGGGAATGTGCTTAAAAGCATAAATTTAAACTTAAAAATATTATAGTGCGCCTGTTTCTATATTCCCCTCTTTAGGCATAAGCTTTTCTGAAATGCCCTTCATTGGATCTAGCAGAGGCACTGCAAGTACCAAAAGACATAGCCACTGGACAAAAATTGAGGCGTTTTTATCAAATTGATAGAAGGGCTTTCACACTGAATTAGTAAAACAGATTCCATGTTTATCATCTGGTCAATTGTCAGTTTTCTCTCGTGAACTCCTCTCTCAGTTACAAATTCTTCAATGTATCTACATATTCCTCTCAAATGGCAAAAAACAAAAACCAAAAAGATTATAAAGGAAAGATATTACAAGGGGAAAAAATGCCGGCGTCGTCAAATCGTTTAGAATAAGGGGAAGATACTTAAAGGCTCATACATCAAAAAGGAATATATTGGTATACAACCTGAGAAGGAATCAGGATGACTGCCTCCAATCTTCACCAGCATAAACTGCTTGATCACCAAGCTCTTGCTCAATACGAAGCAACTGCAAGAAACTTTGTGCTGTTAGTTTGCGATGAGAAATTCAAGAATAGCATGGTGTTAAAACATGTGATCTAATAAAATGAATCAAACTGATGGTAAACAAACATCTCCCAGTTCTCTTGATTGAGAAACAGAAAGCATATTATTGAGAAAAGTCAACAATGTCAATTAACAGTGGACCTGGTTATATTTCGCCAGCCGCTCTCCTCTGCAAGGAGCACCTGCTTTGATCTGACCTGAGGTGAGGCCAACAGATAAATCGGCTATGAATGAATCTTCAGTTTCCCCAGATCTATGAGATATCATCACTCCCCAGTGAGCATCATTTGCCAACTTGATTACTTCAATGGCCTCTGTCACTGTTCCAATCTGATTTATCTGGATTGAAGCATTGAATTATAAATTATCAACTTCAAGCTTTACTTAGTAGATTTTGGAAAAGCTATGTTGCACCAAGTTATCATTAGCTGATTAGAGTTAAAAAGTACTTTCAAAAGGATTTTCCTCTTGGAACTTTTTCATCAATGACAAAGAAGAAATTAAAATGACAGACAAGGCACTTTAGTTGTAACATGTTCAAAACACGCACTTAGACAAAGCAATTGTTTCATGCAAAGATTAGATAGATACCTTGAGAAGGAGAGCATTGCAAGTGGAATCATTTATTGCCCTCTCAACACGTTTTGGATTAGACATCAACAAGTCACCTCCTACTACCTGCAAAATACCCTCTCTTAAAATATATCTAGCCATATATCAGAAATATGAAATCCAGAAAATTCTGGAGGGCATCAAAAGGACCAGCTGAACATTTTAATTTAGGACCTATACACCAGTCTTGATGATTGTAATGCACAGGTTAATCTGATAGAGCATAAATGATGTATGCATTAGTCTTTATGATTTCTATGAACATGTTAATCTGATAGCCCATACATACAATTAACTTTATTTTAGCAAGGAAACAAAACAAACCTGACAAATTCCAAGACCAGAAAAATACTTGGTATGTTCCCAGTCTTCCATGTCGAAGGGATCTTCAATTGATACAATTGGGTACTCTTAACTCCCCCAAAAAAAGAAACAAAACAACACCACATCATTGTTAGAAAGATTAAGCAGCAAAAACAGTAAAGAACATGTACGGGAGACTGTCATACCTGCACACAGTTCTTTGTACATCTCAATCATATCCTCTCCTGACTTGAAATTTTGTCCTGACTTGTTTGGAGATTTGAAGTCTAAATCATACTTGGTACCTATATATAATGAGAAATAATTTATTTATGGGCTGTTAAAAAGCAAGCCACATTCATGAAAAAATGTGCATCCTTGGTAGAGAAACCCAAGTTGGACAAACAGTAGAACAAGTAGACAATGTGGACGATGGTCCAGAGCATACAATTAGTTTTATATCTGATATGTAAACTTGTTGAACATGCAAAATTATGTGTTCATTTTAACATCATACCATAATATATACTTCAACAGTTCATGCACAGTGATACAAAATAGGATTCTAAACTAGTAGTGTCATTTAACTTTTGATTTAAGAGAAAAAAAAAGGGTTATTCTCTACAAGCTACCACTAGTGTAGGAGGTTAACAGGAAAGAATTCATCACCTTTGCAAAAATCAGTAGCAGCAACATCAATAGCTATCTTTATCTTCTCACCATACCCTGTTCTGCTGATGGCCTCTTTAATAAAATCCAATCCTTCTTTCACGCTGCCAACAGGAATTGGGCATAATCAAATGGCCAAAACTAACAAATACATAAAACTCAACCTCTACTCCCTATAGAAATGGATTTTTTTTTTCTTTCTTTCAGGTGGTGGGTTATTGCAGATGCATTTCTCAACATTGATAACTAAGAATAGTAAACATTGTATAAAGATGACTTACTTAGAAATGTTTGGAGCAAAACCACCATCTTCACCAACATTACATCCATGCGCACCGTATTTTTCTGTAATAACAGCCTGCCCTTTTTAATCGACAGCAGTCAAAATCAATGAATGAGTGAACACATGGAATCTCCCAATTGCACAAGATCTACATATAGCGGATATAGTGGCTGAAACATATGAAGCAAAAAGAATAACAAATCACCTTCAAGTGATGATAGGTTTCAGAACCCATTTGCAGAGCCTCCTCAAACCTACTTGCTCCTGTTGGGAGAATCATGATTTCCTGTAAAATTCAAAGTCAAATCGATTCAAGAGACAAGTCAAACATGTATGAAGGCCAACAGGTGAGCATTAGCAATTATTCACAATCCATCAATTCTGAGTATGGACTTTTGATTTAATGTGGAAGTCAAATACAAGAACCAAATATGTTGCCATGAGCTCGTTTATAATTCACATTGACTAGTTACTCTGTTCTGAAACCATGAAAAGTTAATTGTGTTAGTTTTCTCTCCTTGTTGTTGTATATATGTCTTAGCAGCTACAAACGGTAGAATTCACAGAATAAGCTATCATAAATGAATGATTTTGCATCTCTCTTTTCAGAAGCTATCAGATGCTTTCAACTAATATTAAGACAACTTATATTGAAAGAATACAAGAACACGTTAAAAAAAACCGAAATGAGCATTTACATTCTACCTGAACAGCCAGATTATTCCCAGCATGTTTCCCACCACTTATGACAGTAAAGGCAGGGACGGGAAGAGTCAGATTGGTTTTTCCAGAAAGATCAGCAATGTGTTTGTAAAGTGGAACCTGATAATAATTTTCTTTGCCAGATCATTAAGAAAAGTACACAAAATCTCAACATAACTATGGTCAAACTATCAAACATCCAAGTCAAAGTTCATACCTCCTTTTCAGCAGCCCCAGCTTTGCATGCTGCAATTGAAACAGCTAATATGGCATTGACTCCAAGTTCGCTCTGCAATATGAGAACAAGTATTAGTGTCAAGAAAAAGGAACAATCTCTTAAAAACTGTGAATCATCCAACATGAATTTAATAGGGGCATTTTAAAAAACGTAAAGCCAATGGCAATAAACCATCTTCATGTATATTATCATGACAAAACTCATATACAGATGATTAAACAAGATTTGGCAAAAATAAGCATTCAATTAAACTGTTAAAGAAACATCCTAAACTTCGAATATTTAACTATCATCCAACTCCTGACTTTCATGTAGTGAAAAAATGTTTCTACTTGGTTGTTGTATCAGAGGGCAAGTTAAATAACCATGTTAGACTTGCAAGGTCTTTTTGCGGACTGTTGGTTTTACCATATTGTAAATTTCTTTCAAATTCATTAATAAAGTATCCCATGCTTCTACGCATTGATAATTATATTTATACGAACTTTCATTGAATCCCATTGAAAATAATAAATAACAGCCTTACCTTCTTCTCTGTTTTGTCCAAGTCTATCATGGCTTGATCAATTTGAGATTGAAGTGTAGGATCCATACCAATCAACGCTTCAGATATTTTCTCATTAATGTTCTTCACAGCTCTATTCACACTATTTCCAAGATAAATTCCCTTGTCCCCATCACGCAATTCAAAAGCTTCATACCTATATTAAAATTCAAAATTAGGCTGCAACACACATCACTCCATCTTAAATTCAATTTATGATCCTTAACCAAACATTTTCTTTCAAATTCCCAAAATGTTCGTAAAGTTGACAAACAACAAATAAAAATGAACGAATTTTCAATTTTATTAACAAAAAAACCTTACATTCCAGAAGGATCGGCACTGGGAACGGAAGCACGAAACATGCCTTTATTGGTGAACAACTCAACTTCAACGGTTGGAATCCCTCGGCTGTCCAAAATTTGCCTTGCTTTAATCTTCGTTATCACTGACGGAACCGCCTTTCTCATGTGATTAGACTGCCACAAACAGAACATAGAACAGCGAATTACTCGAAAAAGTATTAACGACAACAGTTAACGATAGAAATGAGACGGAAAGAGAGGTACGATGAAGAGAACAGGATCGGGCGATTTAGCTCTGACGGCGGCATTGACGGCGTCTTCAATTTTGCGAGAGAGCATGTGCTTGTCCAGATACTCTTGTACAGACATTTCTCTCTCGTTCCTCGTTTGCAGAGATTTTGTTTAACTTGAAAAGATTGAAGTAAATGCTCTTGCAGATTGAAGCTGGTGTTCTAAGACCACTGACTCACCGAGTTTACTTCCCATTTATAAATAGCGGGTTTATAAATAGTGGGATCCAGTAAAATATTTAAAAATAAAATAAATTATGCACCCCCTTTTTCATCTAATTTTAATATAATATTTTTTTATATACTATTTTTTAGTGTGACAGCTATATAATTGTTATTTTATTTCGTGAATAACCCAAATAAAACGAATTGAAAATAATGTAGATAGACATACGATCTCAAATTCGATTCCCGTTTAAGCATCTGACCGAGACAACTTGATTAAAAAAGAAAAAAAGTATTTATTATATGTAATATTTTTTAAATATTACATATAAATAAAAAGAAAAAATAATGTATTGCCTTGGGTGGGAGCCCTTATGAAGGGTTGGCAATTTTGTTTCTTAAAGATGGTTCTTGTTGGTAAATCAAAATTTACACAATCCAAAGCCATAGTTGCAGTAACCAGTAAGTTGTGTTTCAGAGTAAAAGATTTGCTTTTGACTACCAGAATTACACTATTCTTTTGTACTTGGAATAGGAAGAGCAAAATGAGTTCAACTCATGGGTAAAATCCCAGGATTATCAAGTATTACATATATTTAGCACTCTATAATACAAGCGTAGGAAGTGATATGAACGTACATTTTCAAGGCTCTTCTCTCATGCTACCACAAAAGCACTTGATGAACCAGTGAAATGGTAAATTGATCCCATGAGGCTTTTCGCAGCACCAAAATGTTTTATTCTGTATACACCTGAAGAAGCTGACGTGGGAATTCTCCATTCTATGGTTGCAAAACTCCGGGTACTTAGTTTAGAAGGTCGTGACCACTTGAAGCGAAGGCAGAAATCATCATCATCATAAGCTGGAACCCAGGTATCTTTTCCATGGAGAATCTCCACAAGAGAGAATGTACCTTCAGTCATAAGATCATTTCTGGGGCAGGCTGACCAGAATACAACAGTCACTGTATCAACTCTCTTGAAGGTGGAGTTTTTAGGAACATCAGACTTGACATCTCCAAAATTTACGCCAGACGGAGTTAAGTCCACAACAACGGGTGTAAGTAGGCTGATTTGCTTGCTAAGGAGATCTGGGGGTTGTGGACCAGGTTTGACGGCTTGGCCACTGATAAGAGCACTTGCAAGCTTTTTGAACTCTTGAATATAGGCACTGAGTGTGTGTGGACCATATAGCGTGGAAGCACCCTGAGGAAGCAAAGAAACAGTTTCAAAAACCAGAGATCTATGGTGTTGCCAATACTCTATTACTATATGTTTTTGCCTTATTCCTGCAGTGATTGTGTGTGTGCATGAGACACACAAAGAGAGCAATAATTTGAAAAGTATCATGAGTTTAAATCCCTTTCTTTTATAGTGCATAACCAGGGACTTAAATTATCGCAATCAAGTCACACCAATTTCAAGGCACTAAAGGCCTTATGTATATATAATGGGATGAGAAACCTCCCGAGTTTGTATGATGTCCCTGTAATCCTCTGGTTCACTTTTTTTCCTCTTCTTTTTCTAATCTAACATAAATTTAATGTCATATATGTATGTATGTATGTATGTATGTATTATTATTATTATTAAAAATTAAAAAAGTTGATAATGTTTGGAAAAGTACTACTATGACCGGTTAAGATCATAATGAAAATGCATGTCAGTTCCATGAAATTGAGAACTAACCTCATATCTCTGCACCTCGTACTCTTCAAAGGTGGTCACGTACTGTGAATAGGTATTAGTTAATCCAGCTATAACAACATGAGCATCATTAAATTCACCGCTAGAAGTTAGCACTGTCTTCACAGCATCACGGAGACGTCTCCCAGCCATTGTTGTGAACTCTGTTAGATAAATAATTGTTAATTCATGAGCTATTACAAGACATGACATTAGTCAATTGAAACCAAAAATGACTATATTCAGAAGCAACTAAGGACCTAGTGACGACAAACAAATCATGGCTGTAAACTTCCAGCCATTTTTTTTTCCACAAAAGAAATGAGACTAGTGAATGGAGCTTGGTGAAGCAACTTCAACAGATTATCAATCATTCACCATTCATGTGGTCCTGTCAGAAGTTTCTCCACAAGTCAACTACAAGGATTCTTAACTTGCTTGAAATTATTCTACTGTAAAACTTTGACACAGCATGCATATTAGTAATAAAGTTGTCCACTGTGATCATTCCAGATTGCTTGCAGATACGGTTAAAAAAAAAAAAATTCAGTCTTAGCAACCGATGGATAACTCTTATAGAATGTTTAATGTAAACATGGTTTTCTATGAAAAAACGGAGTTGCAATTTGGGTAGCACATCATAAATTTTATCTTGATAATGAAGTCTTAACTTGGGTTCATTCAACATAAACTTTGGTTCCCAATTCCTTATGGTGAGGAGAGACAGAAAAGAATTAAGGTTTTACCTCCTGGTACACTGAGAATGACTAGCTGCCCTACTCGGAGGATTTGGATTGGAAGTATCGAAGGCTGCAATGATCATGAACAAGTACAACTATCAATATTGCAGAGCATAATAATTGTCTAACAATACGTGCAGAACAAGTTGTACTGTAACTAGGGTATCACGTTATGAATGTGACAGAATAAACTAAAAAGGAGCTCATAAAATGATTGAATTATGCCCGTCAACACCACACCATCACAGTGCTTTTCAGGCATAGACCCATACTATAAGGACCACATTCGTATACAAAATGCCCGTTAATATAGGAATGAGGTATTTCAATTTCTCCCCAGCTTTATTAGTTGTATCAAACAAAATTACAACTGCATGCTGGGAAGAAAAAAATGACATCTTCCATTGCTGAATTTAGTACAAATGAAGTACAAAAACCTGTTTGTTTTGGGCATATACAACATAATACTTAGCAAGAGTGTTAAATTTAAATTTCTTTAGCCTGTATATGGATATTTACCAGCTACATTCAATGATAGCTGATAAAGATACACAGTTGTGCCAAGTTTCAGATGGTTTGCTGCCAGAAAGACAACAGTTTAAACCTCAGTCTGAAAACTCTCTTTGTAAAATTACTACATCATATTCAAAAGGGTGGCTTCTCTATTTCAAAGAAATTATGGATTCATCACTTATAAGCATGGAAAAGTAAGCATATAGAATACAGGATTACAATCTAAATAATAGTGAGGTGGCAAGTTACTGCTAAGTAACATAACAAATACATAATTCCAGTATAAACTTACTCAAGTTTTAGATGCTTTAATTTGGGGTCAACTATTTTTTTTTTGGGAACTTTTGTATACTAAATTCTAGTCTATTCATTGGAAATCAATTCCAAACAAAACACGACTTACTGCCCAATCATATGGTTGCTTCATTTCACCAGTGTCAAGCAAGATGGGTTTTGGATGCTGACAATCAACTTGTTCTTTATCAGGTGTCTTAAGAACGTTGCGCACAAGCCTCCAAAATGGATTTCCCTGCCATAGCATCACAGTTAATCTTATAGACAGAACTCACAGGCAACACAAAACAATGTTTGAGAACAAATAATGCGTTGTAGATTACCTGGTCATCCCCTTGCTTAAAATCAAATGCTCCGGGTCCATCAGTTGTTCCCGCAGCAAAAGCAAAGCCCATTGCTGCAGGACATGTTTTGACTACCTCAGAACCTCCACCCTGTTTAGGAAGTGTGACCTCAAGCTGGGAGAAGTCTAAATAAGTGTGGCGGTAGTCAACTTTTCCTTCTAATTGTTCAGATGCTGTGTTAAAAAGATCTACTGCTTTTTGGAACTGCCTCTCTCCAATAATACGTGTACTTTCAAATTCATCCGGATAACTGTAGATTTAATTAGAGCATGGAATTCACTATTCAAATAATCAAAAGATACAAATATCATACTGAATATAATTCTTAGAATAAATACCCTGGTCCTCGACCATAGCAGTTCTCATTCTTCCCACCACAGGTACTGTGATTGAAATCACAAGGGAGTCCAGTGTCTATACAGAATGCTCCAAGAACATTTGGGCTAACATCACCACAGTTGGACTGACAAAATGCAGATACAAATCCAGGCTTGTCAGCCTGCCTGAAAGCATTCCTGACACGCCTTGCAACACTCAAAATCCTAGTTGCTGGTTTACCAGGAGGGGACTGGAAGGATGCTGCAAGTTCCAGTAACTCATGGTCTGCACCAGAAAGTCATCACAAATAAATGCAAAATATCGTTTCAGCCTTATTATTCTGATGACACAGAGTTGTAACTTCAATAATATACTGTGGAATTCAGATACTTCAAAATTCCAATCTGAGCAATTCAGCACATAATTAGGAATTATAAATGTTCTATATTCTCTATTTGTATCACTTCTCGTTATATTAATAAGTGTAGACAGTTACACCAGAACCTAAGTTTGGAACTTAAGTGGTATGTTTTTGTGATTCAATTGAGCATTTTTTTTAACCTTTTTATAAAGTAATGCTCCTTGGTTTAAAATAGAAATATGTAACTTACGGTTATGACAAGGACTGGAAATTATGCTTGAAACTCTCCGGGGGAGTCCATCGGCCCCGAATTCATCAGCAGATGTGCTTTCAATGTCATTCTGCTCAAACCAGTCTTCCATAAATCGTGCAGCAGCACCCTTGTTATCCCCACTTATCAAAGAGTTAGTACGACTCATAGAAGTTCCATGAGTTGCAAACCAATTGAAGCTACCCACTGGTCCCCACTGGTCATCAACAAACTTCAAAAGGGTCATTTCCTTATCAACATTATACTTATATCTGCTGCGCTCTGCTGCAGGATTATTAAGATAACCGCTAGGACTGCGGTTTACACCAGCATCTAAAAGCTCCCCTGCAAGTTTAAGGCCAAAACTTCTAAGATTTTTTTGTGCAATAAGGAGGCTATCCACAAAGATTTAGTTGCATTAGACAAACATAAAAAAATTTCTGTAAAATTTATATATAGAAAGAATGAAGCAGAAATAAAAGCCCCCCCTCTTACCCTTATTCACAAAAATTGATCCCGGCCGGAGATTTTCATGAGCTTGTATAATGCTTTTCTCTATACCATCTACAAGGACATCAAATGACTGACGAACAAATCCAAGAGATGTCACAATATACACGATATATTGGAGATAACCCCCAGGACCAGCATGGGTGTGAATACCACTGATAGCAACATTCTTTTCGGTATATAGGTCCCCATACCTGCTAACACATTCATTATTTCGTAAATAATACCATTTTATAGCCATGACCAAGTGCAATTCTAAAGACTCTTCACCAAATTGCTAGAACTTTGCAGCAGAACCAGCTCACAAAATAAAAAGAGTCATACATCCACATATGCTGTTTTTTTCCAATGACAATATTGAAATTTTTAGCTCAAACATAAATCATTATGCATAACAAGTGCAACGGATAAGGAAAAAGCATCGAGATGATAATCACCTTGCCTTCAACCTCTCAAGCACTTTGATTGTTACAAGCTGTGAGGCCATACAAGCATCAAGATTTACAAACACAACACGGTTCCCCTGTGGCTCTGCCACAATGAATGAACGAGCTCGCAACCTAAAGTGAAGCCCAGATGCAATCTGCTCCATGTTAGCATAACCCATCATATTAACATCAGCTGCAGGTCCTGTAATGTCATAGCTCCCTAACCCAACTAAATAATTCGAATCCGATAATACTCCTCCACTTTTTCCTAGCAAGAATACTAGAAATGCCCAGAACCAAATAGTTCTACGCAGCCTTTGAAAACTTAAATAAGCAGAGAACTCCATCATAACTTAACCCCACCAAGTAGAACAACCAAAACTCAATCAATCCTTTCCATTCACCTTCAAAAGAAACAAAAAAACCACATATTAAACACACTAAAATGAAACAATTTCATTATAATCTAAAAACACACAAAAATTCAGCTCCCGGTTGAACCTATATTTGGAAACAAAAGCCAATTAATTCAAGCAAAGAAGAAAAGATTAAAAATTTACAATTGCAACCCAGAAGTAAATTGATCGTCCTATAAGGAAAATCAACATGCAAAATGCATAAGTTTGAGTAGAGGGTAGAGCTATTTGAGCAGAAAATTAAAAACTTAAACAAAAGGTTATATAAGAATTAGGAAAAGCAACGACTCAAAGGACTGAATAGTAATTTACCTGAGAATAAAACAGAGGGACAGCGAGAGAGTCTGAAAGAGGAGTCTTGAAAAGGGAGCAACAAGAAGACTGGTTGGCGTGGAAGGGAAGATGGAGAGTAGTGACGAAGAGTTGAGTTTTGGCCTGCGGGTGTTTGATCAAATTCTAATTTATTTCTTTGCTTTGAAATTGACAGTTGGGTGCATGGAATTTCTGTGTTATTATTGTTGTTTATTTTTTGTCCACCTTTTTATATATAAATGATTAATATTCTAATTTTATTTATTTTTTAAGAATTATAACTGAAAAAGCATTTAGTTCATAATTTGAACAGCGCTCTGTAATTCTATCAATATTTTTAAGTAATTTTGGCTCCGTTTGTTATACTCTTAGGAATATTATTATTAGTATTTTTAATAAAGTTAAATAGTAAAATTGATTTATTCTCAAAATATTATTATATATTATTCAATTTCTTTTAAATCCTCCTAAATTTGTTAATTTAACTAAACACTCATAAATATTTTTTTTAGAAATTACAAAAACATCTTAGCAACCCTCCGGCAGTGGTGGCCGGCTGTCCGTATTTAATGGGTAGATTAAGGGTGTTGTTGTTAACTTTTAATAGTTTATTATAGAGGTGTTTAGTAAATAAATAAACATAGGGGGATATTTTTGTTAATTTCTAAATCCTACATCGTAATACACATCTAATTTAACTTTTTTCAAAATATTATTCAAAAAAGTATCAGAATAATGAACCAAAGGATCCTTTTATTTTGGACACAACAAGTGTCTCACCTTTTTATTGATGATTTTGTTCCTTCAAGTTTAAAATACGTACACTTAATTAATCTTACATGAGCATGATTTGAGATTTTATGTCATAATAATAATAATAAATTATTTATTTTATAATAATGGAAAATTTTATATTAAATGGAATAATTTAATTATTTAAAAACACAATTTCTTATAATTGAAAACATTAACAAAATCATGCATTCCCAACTCCCCAGTTTAATATAAATTTTAGATAAGAAACGTGTCAGTAACCCAACTGAATAGCAGGAATTTTAAATTTGTTGTGGGGTTACGTAATCAGAAGACAACAGACAAGCAAAATACTGCACACAAAAAAAATTCTGAGGACACCCAAACAATCCAAACATGTACAGCCCGAAAGAAATAGCCAAGCAATTACCGTGGGCCCATTTGCTGGCAAAAAGCCCACAGAATTTTAGCTCATTATTCACGTCAATATCCATATTATAGTTATAATGTAATTCTGTACCTGATAAGTTATTTTGATGTTGATATTTGATAACTTAAAAAGATAACATCGGACCCATATTTTAACGGTTTACAATTTTCAAAAACTATTAAATATTGATATTTACAAATAGAGATGAGAGCCGAGCAGTTCGCGAGCTACTCGAGCTTGACTTGTGAAAAGCTCGAGCTTAACTTGATTGACTTCGAGTCGGGCTCGAGCTCGAGTGGCTTGTTTAAGGGATTGAGTCGAGTTCGATCAGGGTGAAACTCGGCTCGATAGGCTCGCGAGCCTCATTGTGCTCGAAGGGCCAAATTGTAAGTTTTGTAATTTTTTTATTTTCAAGTTTTTAAAATGACAAACAACCCTTTCTCACATTATAAACTCGAAGCTCGAGCTCGTTCGAGCTCGATTACTCAAGCTCGAGTATCCACCCATACTCATGAGCTCGAGCTCAACATTGTTCATCACGAACTGAGTTTGAGTGTCTAGATACTCGGCTTAGCTCGGCTCGTATACCTATTTATAAATGGTTTTTAGAAATTTTAGGAGATTTTTAATAGATTTCAAGATAGTTGGGATTGATAAACGAGCCAGTAGAAGAAAGTAGGGAGCCCAACCACACGGTCCGAGTTTAGGTAGAACTCATTCCTAAAAGTTAATTCAAGAGAAAGGGAAGTCCAATATCATATATATACATCATAACAATCCACCAACTTAATAATACGAGATAAATTCAATTTTTACCAGGATATTTAAGATTTAGTAATTTTCCTCTGTGGAAGAACTTTTACCTCGTCTGCAGCGAAGCTTCCATTGCTGGTCACGATTGCTCTTTCTGGGTATGTCTTTTTACCATTAAACATGACAGTACAAAGTTTATGGCGTAGTAAGATCTTTTCTTTTCCCTAGTTTAATCAATCTTCCAACAATCAGCCACTTTTATATATCTAGGATACTGATGAGACCTGGAGGATGAGGGTGTAGTAAAGGATAAATAAGGTAGGAAGTAGTGGATAGAAAGGAAGCTGGCAGGAAGTTTCCTTGGGTTTAGGCTTAAATTCAACTTCCAACAGGACGCTTGAGATTTAGTAATTTTGAATTCTTATGGAGTTATAACATAACAAAACTTGCAATGGAATATTCTCATACATCGTTAAGAGAAAACGACTTTTTCCCAACCAAGGTTTGCCTTCATAACACTCTTTCACCCCAAAAGTTTCAAAATGCTACTTTCCCACTCAAAGTTTATATTCTTGGCGTTCGGTGAGTTATCAAGAACCATAGTAAGAGGGGTTTTGTAGAGTGGAAGTCAGTGGATTGAATGGTGGTAACAAATTGAATATTCACTGTCGGAATCAGTCGAAAATAGGCTAAGAACAGGAAACCCTAAATTTGCGGCGGCCAACAATCGGTGAAAAATCAGGTGCCAGAGAGAGAGGGGTTTTATAGAGAAGAGATCGGAGATTCAAATGGTTTTGACGAAGAGAACATTTCGCCGTCGTCGGCTTTGGGTATTAACGGAATATAAATTTTGGGTGGGAAAGTGGTATTTTGAAACTTTTTGGGTGGGAAAGTGTCATTGAGGCAAACCTTGGGTAGCAAAATGTCGTTTACTCATATTGTTCATGAAATTCGTGGATGCGTTTGTTACTTTCGCCAAACGTTTAAAAGCGAAAAATTGCAATATTCTCAACTGCTATTGTTTGTTTCCAGAAATATTACACATCAGAATAGTTAGAAAACAAAATTTACATTTCATAATTGTACATTTTCCCGGAAATTTCTTGCCTCTGTCAATCTGCAGCAAGTTGGTAAGTTGTGCATTTTGTACCTGAGATTTATTGGATGAACTTATCAAAATACAGTAATGTATGTTCATGTTGCTTTGTGCTTGTTTTGTGTATGTTTATGTGCTGAGACTGATAGAGCATGAACACTCAAATGCTTTTCCTTATTACTGAGGCTTCTGATAAATAACATGCCATGTTTTATCTGCTGTAGAAGAACCGAGATGTCCTCAAATTTCTAGCTTGTAGGAGAATCAAGATGACCTCAAAATTTCTAGCTTTGGCTCTCCCTATGCAAGACATTGGTTAGAGCGGATTCCGACACAAAAGAAGTCACCAATAGACGCAAAGCCTGGTAAGCAAAACAAATTCACAAATAATCAAAAGGGAATGAATTATCTTGTCGTTCAGATGATTTTCACTGGTTTAACTCTCGTCGCATAAAGATTTTGAATAATGTGAGGTGGTAAGGCAGAAGCAACAGTTGAATTGGCTAGGCAGAGTAAATATATACTCTTATAGCACTTGCTTGAATAGAAAAGCTCATTGGTATGTTACTTCTACTCTCTTATTGTTGATTGAACTTAGAAACCACCTATAAAATAATTTTAAATGCACACAAAAATATATGCAAAAAGAAATCAATAGATGCATTGTTAAAGTTTTACTGCAGAAATATATATGTTAAACTTACCTCCTCGCTGCCCCACATGCACAACATGCTCCCCTATGTCACTGAAAGGTATATTCAGTTTGTTCAAAAGAGACAAACATTAGATTTGGGATATAGGTGTTATGATCAGATTGCTGGTACTGTAAAAAATCCACTTCCTCTTGAGGTTTCCTTAATATGAGATTTCGGATCCTTGACAGTTAAATATGAAGTTTTCCAACCACATCCAGAAGGGATATTATCTTTGGAAGTGAAAAGAAAGACGTGTGAACAATGAGAAACAGTAAGGTGGGATGGTTCTCATAGCTAAAATCAGGAGCAAGCTTAGAACTAAGTAGCATTGCCTTGTGCTAATTTTATTCTGAAAAAATGTATGTGTAATTTGTTGGCTTTCAGTTAAGCCAATGTTTCAATCCTCAAACACCATGCCATTGGCCATTGGCCTATTAATGCATCTTGCTTCTGGAAATTTTACAAAAATAAAAATTTCAGAAGTTTAGCTTCCCTAACTGGCATAAAAACCTAAAATTTGTAGCGCAGACGTCTTGTGTCTCAATTTGTGCAGATTACAAGAAAAAACATAGTTTTGTCTTGTATGTTTGTGAGAAAGAAAGATGGTACACGTAAGCAAACTCAAACTTGCAAATACAAGGCAAATCCTTTGTAGTAACATACTTATATGCAATACCCTTTGGTCTAAAAGCATGCCAGAGTACATACACAAATTTTAACAAAATATATAAAAAAGTTTCACATGAACAACATTCCGTATGTTAGTAGAAAAAAAATTATCCTGACTGTACTGGATTTGGTTCTCTTAGAAAGGCATTGGTCAGAGAAGATTCCGATACAAAAGAAGCCACCAATAGACGCAAAGCCTGCAAAATAAAACAAATCCATAAGGTGTCAACAAGGGAATTGATATCATGCTTTCAGATAATCTTCAATGGATTCTCTTGCTGAACAGCTTTTGAATTAAAACTCTCCATCTGTATAGTCTAATTAATGGGAGGTGGTACGCAGCAGCAAAAATAGAACTGGCAGTAGCTTAGTGTGGTTGATTATTGGCTTGGCATAAATTCATAGCAATGCCTTGCACTTTGACAACACTTACAACATAAAAATAATAAAAGATACAGATTGTATGGGAATCTAACCCTTATGAAGAAATGAGCAATTTGGCTGATGCAGTTCTTCATTGTTACTTTTAAAGATTATAAGACTTCTAATGCTCTTCCATAGTGAGGAAAAACCTTAAAATACATGTATGAAACTATATTGTTTGCTGCATCTTGTTGGGTGAATTTCTGTGATTATGTCCCAGAATAATGTTTTGCACTAAGAAAGTGAAAATTATCGATATAGCAGGTCTTGTCATACTTTATGGTTTCCAATAGTAACATTCTAGCAGGTTAGGCAAAGTAAAAGAAAGTTAAATCATAGGAACTTTCTTACGCCAAAATCACCATGCGTTTCTATAACAAGATCTCAAAGTAGTCAAAAGGAACTACTATCAGAAATCATGGGATGCTTTGTTAAAGTTTAATACTGAAATATTTACGTCAGCTTACCTCCTGACTGCCCACATGCACAATACGCTCCTCAATATCGCTGAAAGGTACTTTCAATTTGTTCAGAAGAGACAGACTTTGGACTTGAGATATGGGTGTGATGATCAGATTGTCAGTTACGGTAAACATTGTTGGTCCGGTCACAAATCCTCCTCTTGTGGCTTCTTTAAGATGAGACTTAGGATCCTTGACAGTTAAAATTGAACTTCTCCAAACAGAAGGAACTTGACCATCAGAAGTCAGTGTATAATGATTATAATCTGAAAAAAAGTATGTTGGGTGCAAACCTTCTTCAATGCCTAACAGATGGTTCTCATAGCTAAAATCAGGGGCTAGCTTTGGACTTATGAGCATTTCCTTGTGCTCATTAGATTTCAAGTATTTCTCGGCATCTAGTTCCTGAACACTATTGTACAGGTGAGTTAAGGATCCTTTTGAAATGCTATTCTGCATTTCTTTTATTATATAACCAAGTGGAACAGTTAGGAAACTGGAGACTAAATCAACAAATTCTTCACTTGCTTCGGCATAACAAACCATTTTCTTGGATTTGCTGATGACAAGCTTTACATGAATCATCCCATCCACATTTGATCCTAGTTCTTCTACCGTAGATTCAACATAGATGTTCTGATCAAAATTTTCTTTGCCGAACTTTGGTGCTGAATTTTGTTTCAACAAAGTTTCTGTCAAAGGTTTCTTTGACACCAGTGAGCACTTGAGCAAAGTGAGAACCTGAAAGAAGGCATCAGGTCATGAACACAACCACAGTTCAGCTATCTAACAAATTGTGAAATTATTAATCATATCCAGAGAGTTGATATAATAAAAGATGATAGTAGATCAAATTCAAAAACCCTACTTTTTGTCAATTATAACTGTTGATTAGTTAGCTTCTGACATTTTTAGCTTGATGTGAAACATTTTTTCTTTCTTTTTTTCCTTTAATCCCCATCATTGACTTCTAAAAAAGAAACCTGCATTGAAGGTGAATTATTTCCTGGAGATGTTCATCACGAGTGTAAATTGGTTTCTTCATGTACTAAGTTTGATCATACAAAACGATTCTTCCCTACAAATAATGGTAGAATCTGATAAAATTATTAAATTTAAGAATGATAATGAAATGGTTACCTCATCTACTCCTATGTCGATGTTGTACTCCTCAATGGAGCTACAGTCCATGAGTCCTAGCTTGGACGCTACAGAAAGGCTTGCTTCTAGTGATGAGGGCTTTACTTGTAATTCATCAGTTATTATAAATTGGGTCAGTCCTTTAACAAACACTCCTCTATCTCGGGCATCAAAAACAAACTTTGGTACAGTCATCTCTGACAACTTGATCTTCCAATCCATGAGCTGTCCACATTCGCAAACAGCATTAGGGTAGAGACTCAATAACTTGTGCCCAGAAGAGGAAAAATCCTTAGTCCATGGGCACAAGAAGTACGTTGGCAGCTCACCATCATCAATTTGCAATTTTAGTCTCTTGTTCTGAGGTGCAGCGCCATTTCTGGGACATAGCAACATGGTCTTGCATGCTTCACTCCGGAAACGCTGCATGTCAAGGTTCTTAATGCTTTCATACAAATTGTTCATGCAACCTATCCCCACTGTTGGTGGCTGATTATGATTAGAAATAAGCCTGATGATTGTTCCCATGGGCATTGTCAAGAAACTAAAGAGAACATCCGTAAAGTCTTCATCTGATTCCGCAAATATAACTCTGTTGTTCTCTTTATCCACCAAGGCCTTCAAGCTAATTGCTTTTGCTTTTTCCTTAGTCATTGAGTATATGCTTTCAAATCTTGCTTTGTTCAAATACTGGATACAACCTGCAAAATCAAGGCTTAATCAATCACTTATCTAAGCCTGAAGCCTTTTGTTCATACACTTCAAGAAATTTTGAAATCTGTGCAGAAACTCAACAAATAGGCATTTTCTTGAAACAAGGAAAAGGATAAATTGATTCAAAAACACCATGATTCTAAGCTGATCTCCACGAGGCTGGAAGATTTAAGGACTTTTTCTTAGTGCAAATGTTCACATAAATATTGTACATTAAGAAAAAACATTAATCATTGAACAAAGTAATGAGTTTTATATAAACTAAAAAATAAACTTACTTAAAGGAGTTCAATGGGCTAGAAAAGAACATCATCAGAAAAATCAAAACAAGAAGATTGTGGAGATGTGATCATTAACTAATGTTTACAAGTCGTAAAAATCTTGAATGTTTAGAGCTTTCTGGGATTGAAATAATGATTAAAACATTCTAAACACTGATGAATAAAAGCTAAGATTAAATAACTAATAAAGTAATAATTCTACAGAGAAAACAACCCATATAGTCATGCTATTAACTCTAGCTCAGATGCTCAAGAACTTAACTTTAAAAGTATCGCATATTATATGACAAAAACATATATAGTACCTGGTGATCACCGAGCTACTGTTGCTGGAGAGGAGTTCAATGAAGGATTCAGAGAACAGAGAGTGGAGAAAATGAAGTAGAAGAGAAGTTTTAAGTAAGTTGAAAGCCGTATCCGTACATGTGTGGCCCGTTATCTTTAGCAACTTCTTTATTAAGGCAAGAGTTCTTAAGGGAGAAGAAATGAACAGTCCAGTACTTGACTTGACTCTTGATCTTCTTGAAACAGGGAAAATATTATTCCAAGAGAAAATACCCATATTGGAACTAAATTATTTCCAGAATATACCCTTTTTCAAAGATTTTTAACAGAGAAAAAGTTAATCAAAGATTTTTGTATCTGTTTGAAGCCTCTTCCATTCACTTAAAAAATTATAAGAAGTTCCATTTCCACTGAAAAATGCACACTGATATGTTTGGAATTTCAACTTTTTCCAAGTTAAATTTGTTTATCACATACTGGAGCTTAATTATTTCCAGAATATACCCATTTTCATGAAGTAAAATGATTACTTAATTTAAGGAGTTTGATCCAAATTAAGCTGGTGTCCACAGGAAATATTTATGCATTGTAAAATTAATCCCAAAACAAAAAAAGAAACTGCTCACACCATTTAAGAGAGCAAGATAGTAAATAATCTGATAAAAGAATTGTTAATTATAACTGGAAGTCTGGAACTAAACCATCAAAATTAGTCCCATTGAAATCACTCCAATCTTCAATGTTTATAGCTTTGTGGGGGTTGAAATAACAGTATAATCATGCCAAGCATATGTAATTGAAGAAGATTAAACAACTAATAGAAAAGTCTCTACATACCAAAACTCATATATCGGCTACCTCAAGAACCCAACAGTATATAAGAAGTGATGATTTATGATGAAGTTATGTATGGTACCTGATGATCGCCAACAGCTAGTTAGCTAGCTAGTGTTGCTTCAGAAGTGTACTGAAGGACTTGGGAAAGGTTGGAGAGCGAAGAGAAAAACAAGTAGAAAAGCAGTTTTCAAGAAAGTAAAGTAAGCCGGAGGTGCATCACTTTGTGTAGACCTATCATCTTTCCAATCTGTGGGAAAAGGAAATGGGAAAACAACATGCACCTACTCATGGTTTGCTGTACTGACAATGTGATACCCAAAAAATTTGAAAATAACAAATAAGCTATTTTCCGATCAATAATGCTACGGACACCGGGATTTTTGCACCGAAATATTATATCGGCCTACGTGTAACATGCCTCTGATTTCTTTAATAATTTTTTTCTAGTGAACGGGCGTCCCTATTTAATGGATGCCCGTCCATAAGTAAAATGGAATAATTTTTTTATAAAAATTAGGGACAATCGTTCATCCGTTATGGACGGCCGTTCCTTCATTTTGGACATGTATCCGTAAATAAGAGACGCTCGTCCTTAATCAAAATACGAAAATAAAAAAAAATAAAAAATTTGGGGACGGTCGTCCATAAATTTTGTACGGCCGTCCCTTAAGTTTGGACGGCCCATCTATACTTTAAAAAAAAAAACACCTTCTTCGCTCTTCTTCTTCTTCTTCTTCTTCGCCAAGCCAAAAACCATAGCAACATCTCCCACAACATAGCTCATTGATCTCCATTGATATCTAGTTGATCCTTACGATAGAATCTGGGAAGCAGCAACAGGAGAATTTGGATTAACAACAATCTCAAATGAAGCATCCTCCATTAAAGTAACTACTCCACCTGACAATCCTCCACCATTGGTGCTACAAAATGCTGTAACTTCTTCAAGCACTGGATAAATATAATCACAAAACTTCCTGAAAAGCCGACTCCCTTCTTCATGGCGACCTACTTCTCTGAAGTAACTCAGCCCGGCCGCAGTCACAAGAGCTAATGAAGACCAAACCCAAATCCTAACCAGAACAATGCTCACCTTCTCATAAAAATTTATGGAACGGTCAAGATCACCAACACGAAGCATCACTTGACATAAGGGCTCAGGTGTAGGCTCCCTTTCCAGCAGTTCAAATTTATAACCATCAGGATCTTCAATAAACGCAATTATCGTATTACCACCTTTGACAGGACCAGGTTCTCGGGTTACTTTACCACCCTTGGCCTTTATGAGTTCCACCGTCTTGGCAACCTAGTCAGAAGATCATGCAAGTGTGGGTCTTTTAAGAGTCAACAATCCAGCAAGCAGTCTAAGAACAAAAGCAAAAATTGACATAAAAGTAAGGAGCCTATAAATAGGAGAGCAGGAAAAAATATATATATACAGCGACATGATTCTACTGTGAGCTTTAAGAAATAATAGAACTTACATCCTCAACTGCAATTCCAAAATGCCCAAATCCAGTAGCAATATCATACTTGTCAACTCCATAATCTGTCAACATCATTCAATCAAAGTTAATAGAAACAAACAAACAATGCATGCATATGTTGCAGAGACAACAATTATTAAATTCATGTACAGAAATTATTTAACATCTCAGTATTCTGCAGAAGTTTCATCCGAAGTTCAGCTGTTTCAGAGTTCAGCAAAGCTTAACAAAACAAAGGAGCAGGCAGAGAGCTTACTGTAAGTGAGTTCAATAACAAAGTGAGAATCTTCTGGTCCATATCCAAGAAAGGCATTTGTATATCTCTCCTCCGGTATGTCCCGTTTCCGCAGCAACTTCATCCCCAAGCACTCAGTATAGAATCTAAAGTCACCAAATACATTAATATCCTTCCAAGATTATCACAATAATATTGTTTCAAAGAGAAACTTATTTATAACATTAACATTGCCGTTGAAGTTAAATAAAAACTGAATACTTTATCGTCTTATCCAAATCTCCAACACGATAAACAACATGAAGCAATCTCCTTTTGTCTTTCTTAACCCATTCTGGGGCATTTTCTTGAGAAGCACTTGTGCTAGCCTATGCCACATTCCCAGCTGATACCACTCCTACGCCATTGCCATCTCCTTTCAAGTGCTTAGAAGCCTTCAAACCAAGTGATTATGATCTAAAGGTTATTTTTGTTTTGTTTATGCTGTAATTCAGTGGGAGGATTAGGATTGCTGCAAAATGGATTTGAGGTGTTATTGCAGCCGAGCTGAGTTACTTCAGAGAAGTAGGTCGCCATGAAGAAGGAAGTCGGCTTTTCAGGAAGTTTTGTGATTATATTTATCCCTATCAAAGTGCTTGAAGAATTTACAACATTTTGTAGCACCAATGGTGGAGGATTGTCAAGTGGACTAGTTACTTTAATGGAGGATGCTTCATTTGAGACTGTTTTGTTAATCCAAATTCTCCTGTTGCTGCTTCCCAGATTCTATCGTAAGGATCAACTGGATATCAATGGAGATCAATGAGCTATGTTGTGAGAGATGTTGCTGTGGTTCTTGGCTTGGCGAAGAAGAAGAAGAGCGAAGAAGGTGTTTTTTTTTTTTTAAAGTATGGAAGGCGTCCATTCCATCCAAACGTAAGGGACGGCCGTCCAAAATTTATGGACGGCCGTCCCCAAATTTTTATTTTTTTTTATTTTCATATTTTGATTAAGGACGGGCGTCCCTTATTTGCGGATGTCCGTCCAAAATAAAAGGACGGCCGTTCATAACGGATGAACGACCGTCCCTCATTTTTATAAAAAAATTTATTTCATTTTACTTATGGACGCCTGTTCCTGGTATATGGACCTTCGTCCATATAATATGGTCTATATGAGTGAACGGTCATCCAAATTTGATGGACGGCCGTTCACTAGCAAAAATTATTAAAAAAATCAGAGACATATTACACATAAGTCGGTACAATATTTTGGTGTAAAAATCCTGATATCCGTAACATTATTGATTTTCCGATATATTCTGTTAAAGATTTCCATTTGCTAAAGATAGCAGTGATTAAAAATACTGAAATGCACTTTAAAGTTTGATGTTCCTTTTTATCTTCATCTCTCTGTTTTCATCTCTTTACCTTCCTCTATACTTTAGCAGTCAATAATTCCCTCTTTCTCGGTCCCTAATCCACAGCCACCGTTCTATTCTACCCTTCCCTAGCACGACTTCCAACGCCTTAAATCCCACCAATCCTCCTCTGTCTCAAATCCCACCAACGCCTCCCACCCTACCACTACCACCACTCCACTTTATTCGCCGGCCACTAATATTAATTCACTCTCTCCTCCCTCAATCAGCCACCGTTGTTTTCTCCTCTATTAATATCAGGGCACAAAGATCTCCACACCCCTTCTTTTTTCCTTTTTATTTTCTTAAAAAAAAGCCCAAAAGAATTGATTGTGACTGTTTTGATTTTTTACTGAGGATTATGGAGCTGCAGGTTGTTTTGCGCGGTGAAGGGGGTGCGGATGATGTCTTTTTGGGGTTGTTGGGCGGGCTGAAAGGTTTCAGGACATGAGGAAAGGGTGAGGTGGGTTTGTTGGGATGGGAGCAAGGTGAATGGGGTGGGTGGGTTTGCTGGGTGAAAGAGGGAATTATTGGCTGCCAAAGGATGGTGATATTCGCTTCTGAAAAAAATTCTTCAAGGTTATGAAGATGTGTTTGTTGGTGGTTTTGAGAAGTTTGCAACGGTGGAGGATGGGGGAGATTGGACTAGACTGTGAAGTGGTTGTGTAGATGATTTTACAAGAAAGAGATCTTGTGAAAGAGGTTTTAGGAAATTTAATTTTAATTGGAGTAAACATAATCAATAAAATTTATCCCTTTACCATTTGAATTCCGGCAAAATCTCATTGGTATGTTACTTCTACTCTCTTATTGTTGATTGAACTTAGAAACCACCTATAAAATAATTTTAAATGCACACTAAAATATATGCAAAAAGAAATCAATAGATGCATTGTTAAAGTTTTACTGCAGAAATATGTATTTAAACTTACCTCCTCGCTGCCCAATTCCACAACACGCTCCTCTATGTCGCTGAAAGGTATATTCAGTTTGTTCAAAAGGTGTTATGATCAGATTGTCAGTTATTGTGAAGATTGCAGGTCCTGTAAAAAAATCCACCTCCTCTTGAGGTTTCCTTAATATGAGATTTCGGATCCTTGACAGTTAAATATGAAGTTTTCCAACCACATCCAGAAGGGATATTATCTTTGGAAGTGAGAAGAAAAACTTGTGAACAATGAGAAACAGTAAGGTGGGATGGTTCTCATAGCTTAAATCAGGAGCAAGCTTAGAACTAAGTAGCATTGCCTTGTGCTCATTTTATTCTGAAAAATTGTATGAATGTGCAATTTGTTGGCTTTCAGTTAAGCCAATGTTTCAGTCCTCAAACACCATGCCATTGGCCTATTCATGCATCTTGCTTCTGGAAATTTTACAAAAATAAAAATTTCAGAAGTTTAGCTTCCCTAACTGGCATAAAATTCTAAAATTTGTAATGCCGACGTCCGGTTTCTCAATTTGTGCAGATTAGAAGAAAAACATAGTTTTGTCTTGTATGTTTGTGAGAAAGAAAGATGGTACACACGTAAGTAAACTCAAACTTGCAAATTCAATGCAAATCCTTTGTAGTAAATATTTATATGCAATACCCTCTGGTCTAAGAGCATGCCAGAGTACATACACAGATTTTAACAAAATACAAAGTTTAACATGAACAACATTCCATATTTTAGTAGAAAAAAATTATCTTGACTGTCTTGGATTTGGCTCTCTCAGAAAGGCATTTGTCAGAGCAGATTCCGATACAAAAGAAGCCACCAATAGATGCAAAGCCTGCAAAATAAAACAAATCCATAAGGTATCAACAAGGGAATTGATATCATGCTTTCAAATAATCTCCAATGGATTCTCTTGCTGAACAGCTTTTGAATTAAAACTCTCCATCTGTATAGTCTAATTAATGGGAGGTGGTAATGCAGCAGCAAAAATGGAACTGGCAGTAGCTTAGTGCGGTTGATTATTGGCTTGGCACAATAAATTCATAGCAATGCCTTGCACTTTGACAAGACTTACAACATAAAAATAATAAAAGATACAGATAGTATTGGAATCTAAACCCTTATGAAGAAATGTGCTATTTGGTTGATGCAGTTCTTCATTGTTACTTTTAAAGATAATAAGACTTCTAATGCTCTTGCCAAAGTGAGGAAAAATCTTAAAATACATGTATGAACCTTTATATAGTTTGCTGCATCTTGCTGGGTGAATTTCTGTGATTATGTCCCAGAATAATGTTTTGCACTAAGAAAATGAAAATGATTGATATAGCAGGTCTTGTCATACTTATGGTTTCAAATAGTAACATTCTAGCAGTTTACGCAAAATAAAAGAAAGTTAAATCATAGGGACTTTCTTATGCCAAAATCACCATGCATTTCTATAACAAGATCTCAAAGTAGTCAAAAGAAACTACTATCAGAAATCATGGGATGCTTTGTTAAAGTTTAATACTGAAATATTTATGTCAGCTTACCTCCTGACTGCCCACATGCACAACACGCTCCTCAATATCACTGAAAGGTACTTTCAATTTGTTCAGAAGAGACAGACTTGAGACTTGAGACATGGGTGTGATGATCAGATTGTCAGTTACGGTAAACATTGTTGGTCCAGTCACAAATCCTCCTCTTGTGGCTTCTTTAAAATGAGACTTAGGATCCTTGACAGTTAAAATTTTACTCGAAGTAAATCCGGAAGGAATTTCACCATCAGAAGTCAGTTTTACTACAAAATGAAAACCATTAAAACATTCCGTAGCACGGTATGTTGGGTGCAAACCTTCTTCAATGCCTAAAGGATGATTCCCATAGCTAAAATCAGGGGCGAGCTTCGGACTGATGAGCATTTCCTTGCGCTCATTAGATTTCAAGTATTTCTCAGCATCGAGTTCCTGAACACTATTGTACAAGTGAGTTAAGGATCCTTTTGAAATGCTACTCTGCATTTCTTTTATTATATAACCAAGTGGAACAGTTAGGAAACTGGAGACTAAATAACAAATTCTTCTCTTGCTTCGGCATAACAAACCATTTTCTTGGATTTGCTGACCATAAGCTTTACATGAATCTTCCCATCCACATTTGATTTTGGTTCTTCTACTTTAGATTTAACATAGATGTTCTGATCAAAATCTTCTTTGCCGAACTTTGGTGCTGAAGTTTGTTTCAACAAAGTTTCGATCAAAGGTTTCTTTGACACTAGTGAACACTTGAGCAAAGTGAGAACCTGAAAGAAGGCATTAAGTAACGAATACAGCCACAGTTCAGTTATCTAACAAATTGTGAAATTATTAAGCGTATTCAGAGAGCTGATATAATAAAAGATAATAGTAGATCAAATTCAAAAGCCCTACTTTTTGCCAATTATAACTGTTGATTAGTTAGCTTCTGACATTTTTCCCTTGACTGTGAAACATTTTTCCTTTCCTTTTTCCTTTTAATCCTCATCATTTACTTCTAGAAAAGCAAACTGCATTGAAGGTGAATTATTTCCAGGAGATGTTCATCACGAGTACAAATTGGTTTCTTCTATGTACTAAGTTTGATCATACAAAACGATTCTTAACTACAAATAATGGTAGAATCTGATAAAATTATTAAGTTCTAGAATCAGAATGAAATAGTTACCTCATTTACTCCTATGTCGATGTTGTACTCCTCAATGGCGCTACAGTCCATGAATCCCAGCTTGGACATTATAGAAAGGCTTGCTTCTCGAGATGAGGGCTTTACTTGTAATTCATCACTTATTATAAATTGGGTCAGTCCTTTAACAAACACTCCTCTATCTCGAGCATCAAAAACTAACTTTTGTACAGTCTTCTCTGACAACTCCATCGTCCTATCCATGAGCCGTCCACATTCGCAAACAGCATTAGGGTAGAGACTCAGTAACTTGTGTTTATAAATGGTGCAATCCATATAGCATAAGAAGTACCTCAGCAGCTCGCCATCATCAATTTGCAATTTTAGTCTCTTGTTCTGAGCTGCAGCACCATTTCTGGGGCATAGCAACATGGTCCTGCATGCTTCACTCCGGAAATACTGCATGTCAAGGTTCTTAATGCTTTCATACAAATTGTTCATGCAACCTATCTCCACTGTTGGTGGTTGGTTATGATTAGAAATAAGCCTGATGATTGTTCCCATGGGCATTGTCAAGAAGCTAAACAGAACATCAGTAAAGTCCTCATCTGATTCCGCAAATATAACTCTGTTGTTCTCTTTGTCCACCAAGGCCTTCAAGCTAATTGCTTTTGCTTCTTCCTTAGTCACTGAGTACATGCTTTCAAATCTTGCTTTGTTCAAATACTGAATGCAACCTGCAAAATCAATTACTAATCTAAGCCTGAGGCCTTGTGTTCCTACACTTGAAGAAATTTTGAAATCCATTCAAAAGCTCATTTTTTGGCTAAATGCATATATAATCATTGGATTTCGTGCACAAAATCTAATTGCAATAAACAGAAACTCAACAAATAGCCATTTTCTTGAAACAAGGGAAAGGATAAATTGATTCAAAAACACCATGATTCTAACTGATCTCCACAATGCTGGAAGATTCTAATTGATGATAAAAGCTAAGATTCAATAACTAATACAAGTCATAATTCTACAGAGCAAACAGCCCATATAGTCATACTATTAACTCTAGCTCAGATGCTCAAGAATTTAACTTGAAAATTAACTAATGTTATATGACAAAAACATATATAGTACCTGGGGATCACCAAGCTACTGTTGCTGGAGAGGAGTTCAATGAAGGATTCAGAGAACAGAGAAGCAAGTAGAAGTAAGTTAAAAGGTGTATCCGTAGATGTGTGGTCCAATATCTTTAGCAACTTGCTTTTTAAGGCAAGAATTCTTAAGGAAGAAGAAATGAACACCAGTAATTGACTTGACTTTTGATCTTCTTGTAACAGAGAAAATAGAAATACAATCACAACATACAAAGAGACACGATATTTACGCAGTTCAACATAACTGATCTATATCCACGGATAAGAGAAATATACTATAGTTTTATGAATACGATATACAAGAGTACACAACACCATAATCTAGTATAGAAACAATCCTACTTTCTAATAATCTCAACTCAGTAAGCGGAAACAATCCAAGTTTCCAAGACACAAACTCAGTTTCCAAGATACTCTTCACATGGTGTTTAATAACCCTTACATCAAACACCTTCTATTTTCATATTCTTTCATAATCTTGAACTAGTTCTCACCCCTATATTTATAAGTAGTATATGAGACATGCTATTTCTAATAGGATTCATATTTCAATTTTTAACAAGACTCTCATAACTTTCTTCCTATTTACAATTGTATTCTTTATTAAATAGTTTTCTAAAAACATACGATCTTACATGGAACAAATAAGAAAGTGAGCTATAATATCCCAACACAATAAGCCATATTTTAGCTGAAATAAGATTATCCCGACTGTTCTAGATTTGACTCTCTCAGAAAGGCAATGGTTAAAGTAGATTCGGATACAAAAGAAGCCACCAATAGAAGCAAAGCCTGTAATGCAAAACGAATTCACAAAGTATCAACAAGGAAAGAAAATAGCAATTCAATAATTTTATTAGATTTTTAATGTCATAAAGCTCATGAATGATTCAGAACTCTCCATTTGTGCAGCATAATGAGTGGGAAAAGGAATACATTCAGTAGAGTAAGAATCTGAACACATTAGTGTCTTCAATTCCACTTCAAAGCAAATTATACTTCTAATGCAGTTGCCAATATGCTCACAAAAATTAAGTATGTGAACTAGTATAAGATTTCTTTCTAACCTCTGGTTTTCGAAATAGCAATATCAGGTTATATCATAAAATAAATTATGGTTTTCAACACTGAAAAATGATAAATCTGTTAGAATGAACTTGATACAAATTTGTTAAACTTTTCAGTGCAAGTTCACCAAAATTTTTATGAAAAGGCCTAAGATTTTTGAAAGAATTACTATAAAATATGAAGGAGTTGCTTTGCTATAGTTTTATTTCAGAGATTGACATGCTAACTTACACTGAAAGGTACCTTCAATTTGTTCAGAAGAGACAAACCTGAAATTGGGGATATTGGTGTTATCTTCCTCAATGCCTAAAGGATGATTCTCATAGCCAAAATTAGGGGCAAGCTTGGGACAGAGAAGCATTGCCCTGTGCTCATTGAATTCAGATATTGCTCGGCATCTATCAGTATAATAAACCATCTTCTTTGATCTGCTGACGGTAAGCCTGATGCGAATCTTTGTATTTTCGTTCGATGCTAGATCTTCCATTTTGGGTTTTATATAGCTGATGTTGCCAAACACCTTTTTGGTTCAATTCAGGTGCTGGAATACGTTTCAGAAAAGTTTCTGTAAAAGGTGTCTTTGTTATCAGTGATATCTTGAGCAAAGTCAAAACCTGAAGGAAGACATATAGTTAATATCTTCATACATATTCATGAATTAATCATCTCCGCAGCAAGGGGTGCATACCTCATCTTCTCCTCTGTTGTGCTTCCATCGATGAGTCCTACCTTCCGAAGTAAAGAAAGGCTAGCTTCAGTTGATGGGGGCATTTCTTCTAATTCACCACATACTATCAGTCTGAGTCAGTTCTTTAACAAACACCCCTCTATATCCATGCTCTTTCTGCAGTCACAAATGGCATTTCTGTAATGACTCAAATGAGCACAATCGTCATCTCTGCCATGAAGGAACTCAGCGAAGTATCATCAATATTCAATTTTTGTCTCTTGCAATGATGTACCGCTGCATTCTGGGGTATAACAACGTGTTCTTGCATGCTTCATATAAATTGTTCGTGCAGCCTATCCCCACCATTGGTGGTTGATTACGGATGAGCCTGATGATTGTTCCTTATTTAAAGAAGATTAAATAGTGTACTGAGTAGAGAAAACCAAGTAGAAAAGCCATTTTAGGGAAAGTATGTATATAGTAAGTTAAAGGAAAGGTGCATCGTTGCCTGTGCAGTAAGTTACTTATGTATATAGTAAGTTAAGGGAAAGGAGAATCATTTTAGCCCAAAGTTTAGTTATTTTGTAAATTGACATTCATACAAATTTGCTTTTGAAATTCACACAAATTTGCTTTGAGATTAAACGCAAGTGCCAGCTACCCGAAATGTGTCTACACTCTACATTAGAAAGCCTATCTTATGGACCTTGAGTTTTCATGAGGTTGTAGCGTATCACATTATCCGAAATCCACCTTATTTGTATGGATTTACTGTTTGAGCTTCACATAAGCGATCTTTGTTATTAGAATTACGTCTACTTAGCTTACAGAATCATCTTGATGAACCTTGTATTCTCGTGAGATCGGGTCAAATTGCACTGTTGAAATCCCACCTTATGGACCTCGTGCCCCACCATGAGGTTGCAAGTTAGTTCAAAGAGCAATTTTAATCACTCAAATACCTTATGAAGGCCTAGTTCACGTGTTTTTCTTCTGATGGTATTACTTATCAGAATATCAAAAAACTTTGAAATATCAATTGAACTCCTTTTTGGGGGGAAATTGGGTCATTTTTGTACCTCAGGTTAGCTTAATGAATTTATCAAATTACAACCATGTGCTTTTATGCTAAGTTGTGCTTTTATGCTAAGTTGTGCTTTGGGTGTCACAAAAAGATTTTCCTAAATGCCATATAGAGGTGGGGAGTTTATAAAGCAAAAACACCATATTCTAATACATTGCCTTAATTTATGTACATGTATTTGTATGACAATGCAATCTCATGGAGAAATACAATACTAGAGTTTCAATTACAGATTCTCACTCTGATACACATAATAAGATGACATTCTTTCATAGTAAGTGAACCAAGATGTCCTCAATTTTCTGGATTTGGCTCTCTCTAAGAAAGGCATCAGTTAGAACCGATTCAAACACCAAAGAAGCCATCGATTTGGTTTTCTAAGAAAGGTATCAGTTAGAACCGATTCAGACAACAAAGAGGCCACCATAAGACACAAGGCCTGCAACGAAAGAAAAGTTTACAAACTATCAGCAAGGTAGAAAATAAATTATTCAGATAATCTGATCTGGGTTCTCATGGCATAAAAATTTCTGAATCAAGGCTCTCCATCCGTGCAGCCTAATAAGTAAAAGATGGTACCGCAGCAATAGTAAAATTCGTGGCAGCTATAATATGCATTGTTCAATGAGGATAGTGGGATGGCATTTGGCAGAATAATGGATGAAGTGAACATAGCAGCTACAGGTGGTGCTCTGGTGAGCCTGGCATGCAGCGGCCATAGCTACAGCCGTAGCTTTCTCCTATGGAACCTCGTTTTGTTTTACTTCTACACTCACTATTGCTAAGAACTTGGTGCAGTAAAAGATTCCTAAATTGAGATCTAGGAGAAAGAGAAATTTGAACATAGTTTTGAATTCAAAGAAATTTGAAAATCAAGGAAAACAATGCAAGGATTTATAAAGTGGTTTTATCCAGGTACACATTCTGTATATCTATAATCTATCATCAAGTTGTCTTGATAAGTCATTGTCTTGCAATTCAAGAAGAATTACACTGTAGTAATAGATTCAAATTATCAGGAAATGAAAACCTTGGGAATTTTAAAATTGAACGAATTAGCTGATCTAGTTGTCACACTTTGAAGCTAATAAGACTGCCAATGTTCTGACCAATATGAGGCAGAAACCTTAAAATACATTAGATGCAACCCACAAGAAGATTTTTCCCTGCCTAATTGGTGCATCTTCGATGTAGAATATTTGTAATAATCTGATCGGGAAAGTACGGACCCCCCATAAGCCTAAATATATAGGCAGTATCTGTAAACCCTTACCGGTTTACTATTAACTGGGCTCACAGATAATATTAAACACATATTCATGTCTTAATTATGTAACTAAGGTGTACTAAGGGCTAAACTGCAATAATACCCTCTAAGAAAGAGCAAACTAGAATACAAAGACAAACTCTTAGCACATATATAAATAGGTTTCTCATGAACAACATTCCATACTTCAGCTGAAAAATATTATTCCTAATGCTCTGGCTTGGCTCTCTGAGAAACGCATTGGTTAGAACAGATTCAAATACGAAAGAAAAAAAAATTTACAAAGTATCAACAAGAGAGATTCAAATATTTCATTGTATGTCATAAAGCTTCTTAATCAAAATTCTCTTTTTTGTACAGCCTTGGGAAGTGGTAATATAGCAATACTAGAGGGTGGTGCATTGGCATAATAAAGGATGAAATGGACACAAATCGTTTATCATTTCTCTTGTTACTTCTGCTTTCTTCGAACTGTAAATACTATTTAGATACTTATAAGAAGCAGACATAATAACCAAGATATGCCAATAGGACTTGCTTAGCAATAAAATTGCATAATATCCGACTCTTACAGACTGTCTCTTGCCTTGAAGTTCATAAAGTTCTACTTCTCAATGTCACTTATATTCACTTCAACTTGGTTCAGTTAAACAGTTGCGAATTGGAGAAGAAAAGTTTAGAAAGAGTTTTGAGCTCACAAGAAAGTTTATGTTCGAAAATTTTGGAGAACAATAAAAGCATTAGGGTCTACAGATGATGATTTGAGCTGTCCTTCATCTCCATCAAAGCTAATTAGACATCTAATGCTGTCGCTAATGTTCTCAAAAACCATAAAATATATGAAACTTAGTACAAGATTTCTCTGTAACCTATTTGGGTTTATCTTCCTAGTGAAATTATAAGGTTATATTGTACAAAATTGATATATGGTTTTCCAAATATATAGTAACATTCTACCATGTCACTCAAAAAGGAAAGATAAATCTGTTAGACTGAACATGATAGATATATATAAAACTTGCTTGTCAAAATTCAACAAATTTTATGATAAGGCATAAAGATTTTTGAAAGAATTTCTATTTAAAAAAAAAAATATGAGCTGCTTTTTATTTCAGAATCCAATATGGTGACTCACCTCCTCATAACCCACTTTCACAAGACGCACCTCGATGTCATCGAGAGGTACCTTCAATTTCCTCAAAAGAGAAAGACATGAGATTGGTGATATAGGCGCTATGATCAGATTGTCAGTTATGCTGAACATTGCAGGTCCCTTAACAAATCCTCCTGTTGCAGTGTCCTTAGAGCTCGACTTGGGATCCACAACAGTTAAAGCTGAAATTCCCCTTCTGGGAACAATTGATTCATCAGAAATCAGTTTGCTACCAGAAAATACATAATAGTATTGCGGATGTTTATCTTCCTCAATGCCCAAAGGGTGATTCTCATAGCCAAAATTAGGGGCAAGCTTCGGACTGAGAAGCATTGCCTTGTGCTCATTTGATTTCAGAAATTGCTCAGCATCAAGTTCATGAATGCTATTGTACAGATGATTTATGCATCCTTTCCAATTGCCGGTGTGCATTTCCTTCACTGCATACCCAAGTGGTACAGTGAGGAAACTGAAGAGTAAATCAACAAAAGCTTCACTTGTTTCTGCATAACAAACCATCTTCTTGGATTTGCTGACTGTAAGCTTGATCATGAAAGTCTTCCCCCTTACATCTGATGCTGGTTCCCCCATTCCAGATTTAATATAGTTGCCCATATCAAAATATTTTTGGTCCAACTCAGGTGTTGGATTGTGCTTTAGAAAAGTTTCTGTCAAAGGTGTCTTTGATACCAGTGACATCTTGAGCAAAGTCAAAATCTGAAAGAATACATCTGGTTACTAATCTACTATCTAATAGCATTAACTCAAATCATGGTTGAAAATCACTAGTTACCTCATCTATTCCTATGTCAAGATTGCACTCCTCGGTGGTCATTCCATCGATCAGTCCTAGATTTAAGAGTAGAGAAAGGGTCTCTTCAGTTGATGGGGGCATTACTCGTAATTCATCACTTATCATAAACCGGGTCATTTCTTTAACAAACACCCCTCTATCTTGAGCAAGACATTTTTTTTCCGGCAGAAACTTCTCAATATTTATGCACTCTCCACAGCGACAAATAACATCTTTATAGTGACTTAAATGAGGGCAATGACCGCCTTCACCAAGAAAGTACCTCAGCGGCTCAGTCTCATCAACATTCAATTTTAGTCTCCTGCACTGATCTGCAGCTGCATTTCTGGGGTATAACAACATTTTCTTACATGCTTCAGTCCTGAATAATTGCACATCAAGATTCTCAATGCATTCATATAAATTATTCATGCAGCCTATCCCCATCGTTGGAGGTCGATTACGGATGAGCCTGATGATTGTTCCCATTGGCATCGTCAAGAAACTGAAGAGGACATCAATAAATTCCTCATTTGATTCAGCAAAGATAACTTTTTTGCTCTCCTTGTCCACTAACGCCTTCAAGCTAATAGGTTTTACATGTTCGTCTTCCATTGACTATATGTTTTCTCTTCTTTCTCCGTTTCAAATAACCAGACCTACAAGTGGGAAGAAAAGTTAATCAAAGATTTTTGTATTTGATTGAAGCCTTTTCCATTCACTTAAAGTTGAATTCCACTGAAACCTGCACATGATATGCTTGGAATTTCAGCTTTTGGCAAGTTAAATTTGTTTATCATATGCTGGAAATTAATTATTTCCTGAATATACCCATTTTCATGAAGTAAAATGATAACTTAATTTAAAGGCTTTGATCCAAATTAAGCTGTTGTCCACAGGAAATATTTATGCATTGTAAAATTAATCCCAAAACAAAAAAAGAAACTGCTCACACTATTTAAGACTTAAGAGAGCAAGGTAGTAAATATTCTGAGAAAAGAATTGTTAATTATAACTGGAAGGCTGGAACTAAACCATTAAAATTAATCCCATTGAAATCACCCCAATCTTCAATGTTTATAGCTTTGTGGGGGCTGAAATAACAGTTAAATCATTCCAAACATATATAATTGAAGAAGATTAAACAACTAATAGAAAAGTCTTTGCAGACCAAAACTCATATATCGGCTAGCTCAAGAACCCAACATTATATAAGAAGTGATGATTTATGATGAAGTTATGTATGGGTACCTGATGATCGCCCAATGCAGCTAGTTAGCTAGCTAGTGTTGCTCGAGAAGTGTAACGATGGACTTAGGAAACGTCGGAGAGCGAAGAGAAAAACAAGTAGAAAAGCAGTAATAGAGACAGTAAAGTAAGCTAAAGGTGCATCACTGTGTAGACCTATCATCTTTAGCAATCTTTGGGAAAGGAATTTCTTAACGGAGAAGAAATCAACAGTCCTATAATTTACCTGACTTTTAATTTATTATCTTTTAATTTATCTTGGAATAATGGGTGAATTTGTGTCCAATTTGTATGGATTTGTTTTTGAGCTAGTACAAATTTATTCTTGGGTTTCATATAAGTTTCTAAACTTCCATAATTTTGAGCAAGTGGATGATGTAATACGGTCTTTTGAGTTAGAGTTCTTATAGTTGTTAATATGAGTGATCACTAGAACTCTTACTTGTCAATAGTTTTAAGGCCGCGGAAGTCTAGTTAAGGTGTACGCAAATTGACTTGATTAAAAAAAAAAAAAAAAAAAAAAACTTAATTTTGTTTGAAATTATACCCGAGTGTCATTTACCCAAAATGTGTCTTCATTAGAAAACCTATCTTATGGACATTGAGTTCTCATGAAGTTGTGGCATATCACATTATTGACAGTGCACCCTATGATCCTTGCATCACGGCCTGGAAAGTGCACTTTGTTTGCATGGATTTACTTTTGAGCTTGACATAAACGATTTTATTATTAGACTTACGTCTGCTTAATTTATAGAATCATCCTTATGAACCTTGCATTCTCATGAGATCGTGTCACAGTGCACAGAGTCCCATCTTATGGACCTCACACCACACCATCTGATTGCAAATTAGTTCAAATAGCAATTGTAGTCACTCAGATACCGTATGAATGACCTAGTTCATGTGTTTTGCTTCTAATGGTAAAATATTACTTATCATAATATCAAAAAAAAAAAAAAACTCGAAATATAATTTGAACCCTGTAACCACCATCAGGTAATTTAGTGATAAAAGACCAAAAGAAGGTTTCATAAGCTCATAAGTTCAAGTCTCTATAGTCTCTAATATGGGTGATCATTGAGAGGCTTACCTTTGTTGTTAATTTTAGGGTTCTAAAAGATTAGTTGAGGTGTGCGCAAACTAGTCTAGACACCTCGATCACCCAAAAAAAAAAAAAAAAAAAAAAGGAAATTTGAACCCCATTTCCAGGAAATTAAGTCATTTTTTTACCTCAGGTTAGCTCAACGAACTTATCAAATTACAACCATTTGCGTTTTTGCTAAGTTGTGTCGGTAACCCAACTCAATAGCAGGAATTTTAAATTTCTTGTGGTGTTACGTAATCAGAAGACAACAGACAAGCAAAATATTGCACACAAAAGATTTCTGAGGGCACCCAAATCATCCAAACATGTACAGCCCAAAAGAAATAGCAAAGCATTACCATGGGCCCATTTGCTGATTAAGCCCATATCTACTTAATATAATATAATATAGTTAATGTAATTTTGTGCCTTCAAGGCCAAGGCAATGCTCCCTTGATAAGGCATTTTGATGTCGGTAATGCTACAGGCATTGAAAGTAATACACTGAATGATATGATAAAATCATTGCCGTCGATTAATATTAAATTATAATTAATCAACAGTCAGGATTGTGTTACATCATTCGATGTATTACTTTCGGTGATTGTATTATTTTTCTTTTGATGTTGATAACTTATAAATAACTAGTGATTTTATAATCAGAATGAAAAAGTTACGCATTTGCCCTCCACATTTGCCAATAGCATTAGGGTAGACACTCAGTAACTTGTACTTAGAAAGGCTACATTCATCTTAATGCGTGATGATTGGTTGATTAGAGGTTAGCCTGATGATCGTTCCCATGGACATTGTCAAGAAACTAAAGAGGACATCAGCAAAATCCACCGTGGATCTGGCTGGAAAATGCTAGATCGGCGCACTACCGGCCAGATTCAGTCGGTAGTGCGCCATCCTACCAGATTCCAGCCATTTTCTGGCGGTGGTGGCCGAAATCTGGTAAATGTGGATTGTTGAGGTGTTTTTGTAATTTTAAAAAAAATATTTAGGGGTATTTAATTAAGTTAACAAATTTAGAGGGTTTAAAAAAATTAAATAATATTGAAAATAGTATTCCCAAAAATGAGAGTATTTGGGTATTTTACTGTTTAACTTTTTTGGGAATACTAAGAGTAGTATTCCCAATCTTGAACCAAAGTAACTTTAACTTGTACTTAGAGAGGCTACATTCGTCATTGCACAAGAAGTAACTCGGAGGTTCACAATCGTCAATTTGCAATTTTAGTCTCTTGCACTAAGTTGCAGCGCAATTTTAGTCTTGCATGCTTCAGTCCGGAAATACTTCACGTCAAGATTCTTAATGCGTGATGATTGGTTGATTGGAGGTTAGCCTGATGATTGTTCCCATGGACATTCTCAAGAAACTAAAGAGGACATCAGTAAAAAAAATCCTCATCTGATTCACCAAATATAACTCTGTTTTCAATAGCTAATTGCTATGGTTTGTTCCGTATTCATTGTAAATGCTTCCAAGTCTTCCTTTGTTCAAATACTGATACCAACCTGCATAACCATTGGTTAATCAATTATTTATCGAAGGCTGAAGCCAGTGTTCCATACACTTCAAGAACTGTAAATATTTATACAGAAGCTCATTTTCTGCCTAAAAACTTAGTAGATACTAATGGATAGCCCTTTTTCTGAAACAAGACAAAAGGATAAATTCATTCAAAAACACTATAATTCTAAGCAGTTCTCTTTTCAAGGTTGGAAGATTTTAAGGACTGTTTCAACGTCCAAATGTAGGCAAACAATTATATATGCACATAACAGGATGCTCAAATCCTACTCTATGAATAGAGACAAATAAGAAACAAGGATATATGTTATTATATATTTCTTAAGGGAGAAAAAATAAACTGTCCGGTACTGTACTTGACTTTTGATGTTCTTGTAAGAGAGAAAGTACTATTAATTCAACACAAGATGGAACAAAGCTATAATATATAGAAGAGAACAGAAATTGGTCTCTCAATCTTTTGTAGCCGTGACTCATATATTGTTTACAGGTATAAATCAAATTTACATCCAGTTCTTTACAAATCATATTCCATTTGTTTTTGAATGCTATCCACATTGGAGCTAAAATTGGAAATCTGTCTCACAATAAATAGATACAATGCAAATCCTTTGTAGTAACATACTTATACGGAGTACCTTCTGGTCTAAGAGAATACCAGAGTACAAACACAAATATTAACACAAACTATAAATAGTTTTCACATGAACAACATTCCATATTTTAGTTGAAATATGGATTAGGCTCTCTCAGAAAGGCATTGGTCAAAGCAGATTCAGATACAAAAGAAGCCACCAATAGACGCAAAGCCTGCAAAGTAAAATAAATTCATAAGGTATCAAAAAACAAATTCATAAGGTATCAACAAGAGAATGGATATCATGCTTTCACATCATCTTCAATGGATTCTCTTCTTGAATAGCTTCTGAATCAAAACTCTCCATTTGTATAGTCTAATTAATGGGAGGAGGTAATGCAGCAGCAAAAACAGAATTGGCAGTAGCTTAGTTTGGTAGATTAGTGGCTTGGCACAATAAACTGACAGCATTTGTATATTTTACTTCTATACTGTCACTTACTATTGATTGAAAACAATGCATTTGTAGATGGCAATGCCTTGCAATTTGACAAGACTTACAACATAAAAATAATAAAAGATACAGATAGTATGGGAATCTAAAACCTTATGAAGAAATGAGCTATTTGGCTGATGCAGTTCTTCATTGTTACTTAAAAGCAAATAAGATTTCTGATGCTCTTGCCAATGTGAGGAAAAACCTTAAAATACATGTATGAAACTTTATATTGTTTGCTGCATCTTGCTGGATGAATTTCTATGATTATGTCCTAGAATACTGTATGGTTTCCAATAGTAACATACTGTATGGTTTCCAATAGTAACATTCTAGTAGGTCAGGCAAAATGAAAGAAAGTTAAATCATAGGGACTTGAATTTCGAAGAAATTCTTAGTAGTTGTATGCCAAAATCACCATGCGTCTCTATAACAAGATCTCAAAATAGTCAAAAGAAACTACTATCAGAAATCATGGGGTGCTTTGTTAGAGTTTAATACTGAAATATTTATGTCAACTTACCTTCTCACGGCCCACATGCACAACACGCTCCTCAATATCGCTGAAAGGTACTTTCAATTTGTTCAGAAGATACAGACTTTGGAATTGAGCTATGGGTGTGATGATCAGATTGTCAGTTACGGTAAACATTATTAATCCAGTCACAAAGAGACTTAGGATCCTTGACAGTTAAAATTGAACTTCTCCAATTAGGTCCAGAAGGAATTTCACCATCAGAAGTCAACTGAGCATTATAATGATACTCTGCATAACAGTATGTTGGGTGCAAATCTTCCTCAATGCCTAAAGGATGGTTCTCGTAGCTAAAATTAGGAGCGAGCTTCGGACTGATGAGCATTTCCTTGTGCTCATTAGATTTAAAGTATTTCTCAGCATCGAGATCCTGAACACTATTGTACAGGTGAGTTAAGGATCCTTTTGAAAAGCCACTCTTTATTTCTTTTATTATATAACCAAGTGGAACAGTTAGGAAACTGGAAACTAAATCAACAAATTCTTCACTTGCTTCGGCAAAACAAACAATTTTCTTGGATTTGCTGACGATAAGCTTTACATGAATCTTCCCGTCCACATTTGATTTTGGTTCTTCCACTGTAGATTCAACATAGATATTCTGATCAAAATCTTCTTTGCCGAACTTTGGTGCTGAATTCTGTTTCAGCAAAAGGTTTCTTTGATACGAGTGAGCACTTGAGCAAAGTGAGAACCTGAAAGAAGGCAGCAGGTCACGAACACAACCACAGTTTAGCTATCTAACAAATTGGAAAATTATTAATCATATTCAAAGAGATGACATAATAAAAGATGATAGTTGAAACAGTAGATTTTGGGCCTGAATACGACACCCAACCAAGGACCCGGTTTGCCACATCGTCGGGCTCGAAACAAGCTTTCTATTAATATCTTATGGGTCTCGTAACTTCTCCCAAATCAAAAGTCATGACTATTTTAAGTTAATATACCCATGTTTGAGCTTCTGACGCTCGACCCTGTCCAAGAAGTCATCTGCTAAGCCTTCTATGTCAAGAGCAAATTCAAAAGCCTACCTTTTGTCAATTATAATTGTTGATTAGTTAGCTTATGACATTTTTAGCTTGACTAAGCAAACTGCATTGAAGGTGAATTATTTTTAGGAGATGTTCATCACGAGTACGAATTGGTTTCTTCATGTACTATGTTTAATCAAATGATGGTAGAATCCGATAAAAATATTAAATTTTAAACTCAGAATGAAACAATTACCTCATCTACTCCTACGTCGATGTTGTAGTAGTTATACTCCTCAATGTTGCTGCAGTCCGTGAGTCCTAGATTGGATAACTTGTGCCCTCATCAGTAGAAACGCTTGCTTCTACTGATGACGGCTTTACTTGTAATTCATCACTTATTATAAATTGGTTCAGTCCTTTAACAAACACTCCTCTATCTCGAGCATCAAAAACTAACTTTTGTACAGTCTTCTCTGACAACTGCATCGTCCAAGCCATGAGCCGTCCACATTCGCAAACAGCATTAGGGTAGAGACTCAATAACTTGTGCCCAGAAAGTGTACAATCCGTAGTGCACAAGAAGTACCTCGGCAGCTCACCATCGTCAATTAGCAATTTTAGTCTCTTGTTCTGAGGTGCAGCGTCATTTCTGGGGTATAGCAACATGGTCTTGCATGCTTCAGTCCGGAAACACTGCATGTCAAGGTTCTTAATGCTTTCATACAAATTGTTCATGCAACCTACTGCCACTGTTGGTGGTTGATTATGATTAGAAATAAGCCTGATGATTGTTCCCATGGGCATTGTCAAGAAGCTAAAGAGAACATCAGTAAAGTCAACATCTGATTCCGCAAATATAACTCTGTTGTTCTCTTTATCCACCAAGGCCTTCAAGCTAATTGCTTTTGCTCCTCCCGTAGTCATTGAGAATATGCTTTCAAATCTTGCTTTGTTCAAATACCGAATACAACCTGCAAAATCCACGCTTAATCAATTACTTATCTGAGCCTGAAGCCTTGTGTTCATACACTTCAAGAAATTTTGAAATCTATGCAAAAGCTCATTTTCTGGCTAAAAGCATGTATAGTTATTGGATTTCGTAAACAAAACCTAATTGCAAAAAGCAGAAATTCAACAAATAGCCATTTTCTTAAAACAAGGAAAAAGATAAATTGATTTAAAAACACCATGATTCTAGGCTGATCTCCACAAGCTGGAAGATTCAAGGACTTTTTCTTAGCGGAAATGTTCACATACATATAGGGAAAAACATAAATCATTGAACAAAGTAATGGTTTTTATATAAACTTTTTCATAAACTCACTTAAAGGAGTTCAATGGACTAGAAAAGAACATCATCAGAAAAATCAAAACAAGAAGATAGTGGGGATGTGTAATTAATTTGATCATTAATTAAGGTTTACAAGTCGTAAAAATCTTCAATGTTTAGAGCTTTCTGGGATTGAAATAATGACTAAAACATTCTAGGCACTGATGAATAAAGCTAAGATTAAATAACTAATACTAGTCATAATTCTACAGAGAAAACAGCCCATATAGTCATGCTAGAAACTCTAGCTCAGATGCTCAAGAGCTTAACTTTGAAAGTAACTGATCCTATATGACAAAAACATATATAGTACCTGGTGATAACCAAGCTACTTTTGCTGGAGAGGAGTCCAATGAAGGATTCAGAGAACAGAGAGTGGAGAAAATGAAGTAGAAGAGAAGTTTTAAGTAAGTTAAAAGGTGTATCCGTACATGTGTGGTCCATTATCTTTAGCAAAGGCAAGAATTCTTAAGGGAGAGGAAATGAACAGTCCAGTACTTGACTTGGCTTTTGATCTTCTTGCTACAGAGAAAATATTATTCCAAGAGAAAATGGAGCTAAGCTATAGTTAATTTTAAAGGTGTATCCGTACTATTGGATTATTGCTGTTACTATTGTAAATAGTTAGTTAGTCAGTTGGATTAGTTAGTCAGTTGAATAATTAGTTAGTCAGTTGAGTTGGATAACTAAACTGCAGTAACAATTAACCATAGTTGCTAATATAACTGTGGTTACTTACTTTTGTATATAAGTGTACTGTACTGTTGAAATAAGAATATGATGGATTACTTTACTCTCTCGGTGAAATCGCATATGGTATCAGAGCGGGTTTTCAATCTGCCAAATCAATGAGCTTCCATTGAAAGGATCAAGCTCAAAATTGAAGATTCCACTTCAAGATCGGCCGTGTGTCTTCATCAATCCATCAATCTTACTTCTAATTTCAGCTCAACCACCTCAACTCTAAAGATTCAATATGTCGAATGTCAGTGATTCAAGCTCACCTTTATACATCCATCCGTCCGATACCCCTGGTTCTGTCCTCGTTTCAGAGCAACTCATTGGAATGGAAAACTATGGAATATGGAGTCGCGCAATGATAATTTCTTTAAGAGCAAAGAACAAATTGGGTTTTGTGGATGGATCTTGTGAAAAATCAAGTTATAATCAGTCTTCACATGCGCAATGGGAAAGATGTAATTCGTTAGTTCTAGCGTGGATCTTTAACACTGTTTCGAAGGAAATTTTAAACAGTATCGTTTACTCTACTAGCGCTTATCAGGTCTGGGAAGATCTCAAGGAACAATACAACAAAGTTAATGGCACAAGGGTGTTTGGTATACACAGAGAGATAACGAATATGGTGCAAGGAACAAATTTAGTTGCAGTCTACTGCAACAGGCTGAAAACCTTATGGGACGAATTAAGTTCATTTGTAAGCCTACCACCACCAGACAGTGAGTCAGCAAAGGCCTATTTGGCTCATCTTAATCAGCAAAAACTGCTTCAGTTTCTGATGGGATTAACCGAATCATATGCCTTGGTGAGAAGCCAGATTCTGCTGATGGTTCCTCTACCCTCAGTCAAACAAGCATACTCAATTGTGAGTCAAGATGAGAGTCAAAAGATTTTGACTGGATCAAATCCAAACACTGAGGTTACTACAGCACTATATTCACAGGGGAATCAAAGAAACCAAGGTCATAATTCAAAATACAAAGGCAAGAAGCCTTACGTAGAGTGTGATTACTGTCACATGGCAGGGCATAAAAGAGATACCTGTTACAAGTTACATAGGAACCTAGCAGATTTTCAGTTCACTAAAGGAAGGGCAGGATCAAAGGTTAAAGCTAATCAAGTGAATACAAGTCAAGAACAAGCTTCGAACAATGATTTTACATCTGACAAAATCAATGGAGGTACCAATCTGGGAAATGTTCTCACTCCAGAACAATATGCACAATTGTTACAGTTATTGGGGAAGGAGAATGTAGGAACGCCAGCTGCTAATTTGGCAGGTAAAATCATTTCCTTATACTCAAATTGTAACATCATGGATGATTGGATTCTTAACTCTGGGGCCACTGACCATATGACCCATAATTTCAATAATTTTGGGCCTCATGTTACTAGTAAGCCACCCGTATCTAGCTTTGTTAGTCTCCCAAACGGAACAAAAACTTCAATTGCCCATGTTGGTTCTATCAAATTGCAAGATCATTTGTCTCTTAAAAAAGTCCTATACATACCAGATTTCAAATACAATTTGATATCAGTGTCTAAACTAGCCTCTGACAATAATTGTTGCATTACATTTTATCCGGATTTTTGTGTTATCCAGGATCTTTGGAGTGGCAAACTGAAGGGGATTGGTAAGCAATGTCAAGGGCTCTATCATTTCATGTCTTTTTCAAAATTACAATTCTGTTTTCCTGATTTCATTTCAATTTTCAATAAGACCTTAGGTATTCAGGAGTATGATAATTCTAATAGAAAAATAACATCTTTCAATGTAGCTACTGATTCTTCAATTAATAAAATTTTTCATTCCAAAGATGTTACTTTATGGCACAGGAGATTAGGCCATGCTCCATTACTTGTTTTACAGAAATTACATCATGCATTTAGCAATACACACAAATTTCATTGTAATGCCTGTCCTTTAGCAAAGCAAACTAGATTGCCATTTCCTTTAAGTAAGACATCCACATCCCATGTTTTTGAACTATTACACTTAGATGTTTGGGGTCCTTACAAAATTGCAACTCAAGGAAATGCTAGGTTTTTTCTTACCCTGGTAGATGACTTCACTAGAACAACTTGGCTTTTTCTTATACAATTCAAATCTGATGTTTTCCAAACTCTGAAATCCTTTTTGCATATGGTTAAAAATCAATATGACCAAACACCTAAGTACATTAGGACTGACAATGGATTGGAATTTTTCAATCACCAATGTCATGACTTGTTGTCTAACTTAGGAATTATACATCAAAGTACTTGTGTCTACACTCCACAGCAAAATGGAGTGGTAGAACGCAAGCATAGACATATTCTTAACATAGCTAGGGCTTTTAAATTTCAGTCTCATATTCCTGATTATTTGTGGGGATATGCAGTTAAGGCAGCTGTATATATCATCAATAGATTGCCCACTAGAGTCCTAAATGGTCTATCACCTTTTGAAAAATTTTATGGTCATAAGCCCAAATTAGATCACCTGAAAGTGTTTGGCTGCTTGGCATATGCTGTAAATCTTCCTATACAGGACAAGTTTGCTCCAAGATCTATTCCTTGTGTATTTCTTGGTTACTCTTTCACCAAGAAAGGTTACATTTTATATGACCTTCACTCAAAAACCATCTGTGTTAATAGGGATGTTCAATTTTATGAATCTATTTTTCCCTTTCTCCTACATCAGTCCAATAAACCATCTTTTCCTATTAATACTTTCATGGAAGAAGATCTTTCAGCTTCATATGATTTCATCCCACATTCGGATTATTCTGTCATTGATCTTCAAGAGATAGAACCAACTTTCCCTAGTCCTTCCACTCATTCACCAAATGCAGTCTCAATTCCAACACCTCACAATCCTATTAGGAAATCCAGTAGAACAACTAAACCTCCCATTTGGACTACTGACTTTGTATGTCCTACGTTACACAAATCAAATCAAACCTCTACTGTTAAATACCCTATTCACCACTACATTACATATTCCAAACTGTCCCCCACCTATAAACACTGTTTATCTAGCATTTCCCACATTACTGAACCTACCACATTTGCCCAAGCTTCCAAAGATTCTAAGTGGGTGGCAGCTATGCAACAAGAAATTCAGGCTTTGGAGAGAAATGGGACATGGTCTCTGGTTGTTCTACCTCCTGGTAAGATTCCCATAGGATGTAAATGGGTTTATAAGTTGAAGTATAATGTTGATGGAACTTTGGAAAGGCATAAGGCCAGATTAGTGGCCAAAGGATTTACCCAACAGGCTGGCATTGATTATGAGGAGACTTTTTCTCCTGTAGTAAAGATGGTCACAGTCAGGTTGGTTTTGGCAATTGCATCTATGAAAGGATGGTCCCTTTTTCATTTGGATATTGATAATGCTTTCTTGCAAGGTGATCTGCAGGAGGACATCTATATGCATTTACCACAAGGTTTTTCCAATCAGCATGACAAGCATTTAGTGTGCAAATTGCACAAGTCCCTGTATGGCTTAAAGCAGGCCTCCAGGGCCTGGAACACTAAATTAACCACTGCTTTATTGACAGGGGGTTTTCAACAGTCACCATCAGATCACTCTTTCTTTTTTAGACAACAAAATGGACAGATTGTCATTTTGCTTGTCTATGTTGATGATTTGGTCATCACTGGCAGCAGCAGCTCCATGATCCAAACCACTAAGGATCTTTTACATTCTCATTTCAAACTCAAGGACTTGGGCATCCTAAGATATTTCTTGGGATTTGAAGTTGCCCGATCTTCCAAAGGAATAGCCTTATGTCAAAGGAAATATGCCTTAGAATTGATTGCCGAATCTGGATTGGGTGCTGCTAAACCAGCTTCAGTGCCACTTGATCCTCAGCTGAAACTTACTACTTCGGAATATGATGATGCCTTCCCTGGTCAGCAAGCAGATCCTTTATTAGCTGATCCCTCTGTATATCAAAAGTTAGTAGGTAAACTGTTATATTTGTGCCTCACTAGACCAGATATCACTTTTTCAGTCAATTTGCTTAGTCAGTTTATGCACAAGCCTAAACAATCTCACCTGCAATCTGCTCTCAAGGTTGTTAAATATGTCAAAGGTTCTCCTGGTTTAGGTTTGTTCTTTCCAGCTCATGGCTCCATGCAACTCCAAGCTTTTTGTGACTCTGATTGGGCTGCCTGCCTTATGACTCGCAGATCTGTGACAGGTTTCTGCATTTTTCTTGGGAATTCATTGTTATCCTGGAAATCTAAAAGGCAGCTTACAGTTTCCAAATCCTCCTCAGAAGCTGAATATAGGGCTATGGCATCTATTGTAAATAGTTAGTTAGTCAGTTGGATTAGTTAGTCAGTTGAATAATTAGTTAGTCAGTTGAGTTGGATAACTAAACTGCAGTAACAATTAACCATAGTTGCTAATATAACTGTGGTTACTTACTTTTGTATATAAGTGTACTGTACTGTTGAAATAAGAATATGATGGATTACTTTACTCTCTCGGTGAAATCGCATACGTACATGTGTGGTACATTATCATTTGCAACTTCCTTTTCAAGGCGAGAATTCTTAAGGTAGAAGAAATGAACAGTCCAGTACTTTACTTGATTTTTGATATTCTTGTAACAGAGAAAATGGAACTAAG